TACATGCCGATATCGAAAGGAACCAATATCTTTGGAAGATATAACTATATTTCAAGTTTCGTCAAAATTGGATAAATCCAAGGTAAAAGTAAAAGGTAAAATATTTGAAAAGAAAGTAAAAATAATCTGATGACTTGATTTGAAAAAGATCGACTCAAACACAAAAAAAAATCAGTGAGCCAGCGTCTTGCCCACTTAGCCACCGTGGCCCCTAAACTTTTTATATGAAGTACCATCTCAAACATCATCTAGATTAAAAATATACATGTAGGGCCTATACAGAACATAATCTAGATTAAAAATATACATGTAGGCCCTATACAGAACATAATAAATACAGCATCAAAATTTCCTTGTCACTTTTATTGTGTACACTTTATTAATTTGTTGACATTTTTATGACTTCTCCAATCACCATTTTAAACTTTGTTATCCCAGTAAAATAGCATGTTAAACTATATCTCATTTCTCCATTCACCATTTTAAACTTTGTTACCCCAGTAAAATAGCATGTTAAACTATATCTCATTTCTCCATTCACCATTTTAAACTTTGTTATCCCAGTAAAGTAGCTGATGTTAAACAATATCTCATTTCTCCATTCACCATTTTAAACTTTGTTATCCCAGTAAAGTAGCTGATGTTAAACAATATCTCATTTCTCCATTCACCATTTTAAACTTTGTTACCCCAGTAAAATAGCATGTTAAACAATATCTCATTTCTCCATTCACCATTTTAAACTTTGTTACCCCAGTAAAATAGCATGTTAAACAATATCTCATTTCTCCATTCACCATTTTAAACTTTGTTATCCCAGTAAAGTAGCTGATGTTAAACAATATCTCATTTCTCCATTCACCATTTTAAACTTTGTTACCCCAGTAAAATAGCATGTTAAACAATATCTCATTTCTCCATTCACCATTTTAAACTTTGTTACCCCAGTAAAATAGCATGTTAAACAATATCTCATTTCTCCATTCACCATTTTAAACTTTGTTACCCCAGTAAAATAGCATGTTAAACTATATCTCATTTCTCCATTCAACCTTTAAAACTTTGATATTAAAGTAGGATGTTAAACCATATTTCTCTTCTATAAGTGGTATGGTTGATTATTTATGCCACATGTTAAGTATTATCAATTGATATTAATTATTTACCTTGATCAGGGTCAGTGTTGGTCAACCTTTCACCTGGAATAAAACTATTTAAAGTTAAAACCTGGAATGTTTTATGGTTAATATATTGAGAAAAATAATTAAACTGTGAAATTAATTATTATTTTGTTTTTTTTTTCAGAGAGAAGATTCAGGAGAAAAGTTAAAAATGTCAAAGCATTCTGTCTCCAATAAAACCTATAAATGTGATGTTTGTGGTAAATCATTTGAAGGCCTGGCTGATTTAAGTAAACACATTATGATTCATACTGGGGAGAGGCCATATAAATGTGATGTTTGTAAAAAATCATTTATCACTAGTAATAATCTACAACAACACACCAGAACCCATACCGGTGACAAACCCTTTTGTTGTTATGTGTGCTGTAAATCATTTATCACTAGTAGTATTCTACAGCAACACACCAGAATTCATACCGGTGACAAACCCTTTTCTTGTGATGTTTGTAAAAAATCATTTACCACTAGTAGTCATCTACAGCAACACACCAGAATTCATACTGGTGAAAAACCCTTTTCTTGTGATGTTTGTAGTAAATCATTTATCACTAGTAATAATCTACAACAACACACCAGAACCCATACTGGTGAAAAACCCTTTTCATGCAATGTTTGTAGGAAATCATTTAATCAGAAGGGTCATTTGAATTCACACATCAGAACCCATACTGGAAAAAAACTCTTTACTTGTGATGTTTGTAGTAAATCATTTATCACTAGTAGTCATCTATATTTACACACCAGAATTCATACTGGGGGAAAACCCTTTTCTTGTGATGTTTGTATACAGAAGGAGTTGATTAGTTTGTTATAAATGATAAATAAAGGATATCCTAATTTATCAACTTGTCAGTTATTTGAACATCTTTTTATAGATGTTATTATTGTTAAACTATTTGTTATACTTCATCTTTACCGTCCCTGGTCATCTATATATTATCTCTAACATGGGGGGGGGGGGCACAGGGGTCTTTAGAAGCGGGAGAAAACAGAGGCCCCTATATCCCTGTCACTTGGGGATCACAGTGGCTAAGTGGGTAAGACACTAGCCTGGAGGTCGGGTCTTTGATCCCTGCATTGGCCGAGAAAATTCATCCACATTTTCTGGCGTGGTTCTCCCTTGTCAGTGATGCAGGACGGAGGGCCTGACAAGGACAGCTGTCTAGTCGTTCGGATGGGACGAAAGACCGAGGTCCCGTGTACACATTTCCGTGCACGTAAAAGATCCCTTGACAGTTGGAATTTGATATAAGAGTAGGCCGTAGTGCCACTGTCCGGGCAAAATTTCCCTCATAGTACACTGTATGGCGTATGCCCGTCTACATTAGCCCAGTTCGGAGCAGAACAGTAGGACGTTAAACCCCATTTCATTTCATTTCAAATCCCTTGTCACTTACAACCCTGGGATTAAACTCATGACTAGCATACATGACATGCCTTACAATAGAACCCTTGTGTACACTTTGATGTACATGGGTCCCGACTAGGTAGATGACCTCGTACAAGCCCATTGATACAGAGTTCAGAATACAATTTGTAAAATTGAGATGGGGTTTATTGTCCATTTAACATTAAGTAAGTCATTTTGGGACTAACATGGAATCATTTTATTACTTTAATAGTTTCTGCTCAGGAGTTATTTGAAGTTGAAGAAAATGGAACGAGAGAGAGAAATGGGGTTTAACGTCCACTAGACACAAACTAGGTCATTTTTATTCAATAATTTGCTTGCGCGTTGGGGTCTTTAGCAGTGGGTGGGATCTGGAGGACCTGGAGAAAACCCACGCGGTTGGACAGTCGACCCTACTCCTTGTCGCGTACAACTGGGGTATTGAAACCAAGCCAGTTGACTAAAGGACAGACCTTATGATACAGCATGCATGCTAACCATTCGGCCATCCAACCCTCCTGAAGAAAATGGAGTACTTACAGAAAATTCAAGAGGTTAGGCAATTGCCTGAGACCCTTAAGACCAAACTGTGCCACAGTCTTTTTTTACTGATAAAGGCTTGGATTTATTAGGAGTGTGGGGGGGTCGAGAATTGTCACCTTTTATTGTGCTGTATACAATGATAAAGGCTTGGATTTATTAGGAGGGGAGGGGTGAAAATTGTCACCTTTTACTGTGCTGTATACGATGATAAAGGCTTGGATTTAGGGGCATAGGGTGGGGTGAGAATTATCACCTTTCACATACCATTCTTTATACCCATTAACACTGAATATGAATTTTTTTTTATCCAGATATACTTCAAATGCCTTTAATTTTTCATGTGGACGTATATTGTCGTCCCCCTGTCCGTCCGACGACAATTTGTTTGTGGAGACACTATACAGGTCACAATTTTTATCTGATTTTGACGAAACTTGCCATATAGGTTTATCTCCCAGAGATCTCAGTTCGTTTTGATATTGGCATGTATCAGATTGTAACTTCATGGATTATGGCCCCTGATTGTATGAAATATCACGTTTTTAGCTTGTGGACACTCTAGAGGTCACAATTTTTATCCGATTTTGATGAAACTTGAAATATATGTTTATAACCCTACGATCTTGGTTCCTTTTGATATTCGCGCATAATGGACCATAACTGCCTGGATTATGGCCCATGATTGTACGAAAAATCGCATTTTTATACGCCCACATTTTCATGTGAGCGTATATTGTTTATTCAATTTTGACGAAACTTAAAATATAGGTCTTTCTCCCAAAGATCTTGGTTCCTTTCGATATTGGCATGTATCGGACCATAACTTGTACGAAAATCACGTTTTTAGCTTGTGGACACTCTAGAGGTCACAATTGTCATCTGATTTTGATGAAACTTGAAATACATGTTTATAACCCAAAGATCTTTTGATATTTGCGCATATCTGATAAAAACACAGATCCTATTTTGTTTCGTTTTTATAGTTCAAAATTTCGTTTTACTTGTCTTTACTACACTAGGATCTGGAAGAGTTGTTATATAACAGGCGTTCTACTTGATGTGAGGAATTAGCTAATGAAACGGTCTGTAACGGCGAGTTCTTGGGCTTTTTATGCACGGAACTGTGAGTAAAACACTAGAAAAGACACCGCTAATTGATGTCATAGGGTCAAAAGCCAATCGTTTGAACCCTGACATGAACTCCCACTATAACTTGTCAGATCTTCATTTAGTGTAGGCCATCGAAAGTATAAAAAATGAAACGAAATATAGATCTGGCAATTTCCTGAACTGTAGAGTTCACAATTGTTATCCGATTTGAAAAAAAACCCTTTGAATATATCACCGTTACACCCTAATGATGGTTGAGTTCGAATTTCGTGAAAATCAGACCAAAACTGCTGGACAAAATGGCCACCCCTGGGAAATCGGTGACTCCGTCGGAAGTGTACATGACGAATACGATAGACTGTATAATATCGTTTTTCTAAGCTTGACTGATGTACCTTAAAAATACAAATAACCTCCCGTTAAGGTCATTCTCCCAAGTGGTCTAATCCCTATAAAATCATACATAACCCATGTCCTTTCCTATTCAACATTTATCGAGCAAGCTAAAACAAAAATCTGATTTTAACCCAAAATGACAAGTTTGACATCAGGAATGTTCAGAATACGAAAAAATATAGAAATATGATACACGAGTTGGTTGATTTGTGTCACTCATTACATCGCCATCTTTATGTGTCTCGGAGGATAGCTTTGGGTGAATTTGGGCAAATCGTGTCACTTTTATACGCCTTCGCAAGATGTGTTGGATAACTTACAAACAAGGTCTACAAAATAAACAACAAACTAAGAAATATCAAACATAAAGTCTGTTTATTTTGCGATATAGGTTATATTTTAATATCTTGTAATGGTTTGGATCTAGTTGTTTTCAAGAAGTACATATCAATATACATACATTATTGTAGTTTTGGGTTTAGATGAATATATTGTTGACTTAGAATTATATTTTATAAAGAAAGTACTGCATTTAATTAAATAAGTGCCTAATTATTACAATATAGTTTATTATGTTAAATATTGAATCTGATAATAGTTGCTCGCTGTACACTAGTGGATATATAGCATAACATAAACTAGTTTGTTTAAAACAAACTACAAAACGATTCTCCACATGCAACACCTGAAGAATAAAAAAAACCATGGTTTATATGATATAAATAAACAAGCCTTCATGAAACTCGTTCCTGGTCATAAAATTGACTTACTGTGTATATAAGAAAACAAGATTCGTTTAAAAAGCAATATGTTAGTTTTACATTATAATGTTAATCAAGTATATTTTAATTGACCGGCCTGTCCAACCTCGTAGGTTTTCTCCGGGTCCTCCGGTTTCCTCCCACTGCTAAAGACCCCTACGCGCAAGCAAATTATTGAAATAAAATTATGTTAGTCCCGAAATGGACTAGTTTGTGTTGAGTGGTCGTTAAACCCTCCCTCTCTCTCTCTCTCTCTCTCTCTCTCTCTCTCTCTTTAATTGATCGAAACAGATGTTTGACGATGCCACGTTGGTTCAATGACAATAGCCGAATAATCCCCTTGTTGACCAAAGACTTTATGCTTGAGTTTACTAAAAGACCCAACATGACATGTTATTACATTTTGTCCAGACTTGATTATATCTAATACATTAAGTGAATAAATGAAATGAAATGAAATGGGGTTTAACGTCCTACTGTTCTGCTCCTATGCTGGGCTAATGAAGACGGGAATACGCCATACAGTGTGCTATGAGGGAAATTTTGCTCGGGCAGTGACACTATCGCCTACTCTTATATCGAATTCCAACTGCCAAGGGATCTTTTACGTGCATTCCAATATATACACGGGACCTCGGTTTTTCGTATCATCCGAAGGACTAGACAGCTGTCCTTATCAGGCCATCCGTCCTGCATCACTGACAAGGGGGAACCACGCCGGACAATCGGGATGAACTTTCTCGGCCAATGCAGGGATGGAACACTGAACCTCCAGGCTAGCGAGCCAGCGTCTTACCCACTTAGCCACGTGATTCCCCCATTAAGCGAATAAAGTAATTTAAAAGTAGGTCTGATTTGAGTTTACTAAGTGTAAACCTTTAGTACACCATGTTAGTTAATAATAACATTATTGGGTGACGGCACGTGTTAAAGGCAGTCATCTTTTACAGAGATATTAGAAGACAGATTGGTTCACGTCATCTATCTGTGGAGTGCAGTCTAAAAAACATGTGACTGTTTTACGCTCAGGGTAACGCAGCAAGACGCACGTGTAAATGCAATACTACTCAGGTCGTTTCTCCACTGCGAAATCATTCTACCATGAAATGTAGCGCGAGGCACAGAAAAGGATAAATGAAAGAGCAGAAAGTATTTGTCACATTTCGCTTGACACGACTCGATAATAAATACCATTTTTCACATTTCGCTTCACAATACTCGATATAAATGTAATGTAAGTAACTTATTCAAACCTTTCCTCGGTGTATCGGTGAAGATCAGGAAAGTTTTGGTCGGGGGCCGCCTCGGCTGGGCCCCTCGACCAAAACTCTCCTGATCTTCACCGATACACCGATGAAAGTGTGCTAATAACTATTACGTTAATATGATTAATAAGATAATTGGGTGAATTTTGCTGTTTGTTATCATCTTATCTATCTTATTTAAATAAAGACGTTCATTGTTTATATATATACAAATCAGGTCATATTGATGGGTGATATATTCAAACCAGGTCATATTGATGGGTGATATATACATATATATACACACCAGGTCATATTGATGGGTGATATATACATATATACACACCAGGTCATATTGATGGATGATATATACAAATCAGGTCATATTGATGGGTGATATATTCAAACCAGGTCATATTGATAGGTGATATATTCAAACCAGGTCATATTGATGGGTGATATATACATATATATACACACCAGGTCATATTGATGGGTGATATATACATATATACACACCAGGTCATATTGATGGATGCTATATACAAACCAGGTCATATTGATGGGTGATATATACATATATACACACCAGGTCATATTGATGGGTGATATATTCAAACCAGGTCATATTGATAGGTGATATATTAAAATCAGGTCATATTGATGGGTGATATATACACACCAGGTCATATTGATGGGTGATATATACACACCAGGTCATATTGATGGGTGATATATATACACACCAGGTCATATTGATGGGTGATATATACAAATCAGGTCATATTGATGGGTGATATATACACACCAGGGGCCTGTTTCACGAAATTTTAACTAAGATAAAATCCAAATTTTAGTAATTTGATTAGATAATATTAGATTGATTTTAGTGCTTAGCCAATCAAAATTGAAGTATCTACTAAAATTTGGATTTTATCTTTAGTTAAAATTTCGTGAAACAGGGCCCTGGTTATATTGATAGATGATTATAAATAGAATAGTGAATATTTACGTCCACAGTATCCACCAACACATGGGTTACCTCGACAATCATTGTCTTCGTCACATTGTACTATAAACATAATTAATCATAATTAATATATCATTACACACACCAATACCAAACTATGTATCAAAACATGTGTGCAATCCAGATGAAGAGGTGGTGGTGGGGGGGGGGTGTAACAGCCCTCGACTCGAATGATTAGGTCCTCCTTTCCTGACTAACACTGCACACTTTGTAACAACCGACTGGTTAAAGCAATAACTACTTGCATGGATAGCGGGCCTTATAATCAAAACCATGTGCGTATGACCACTCGGCCACCCAGCCCCCTTTTTAAAGATCAAATATTGGCCAATATTCTGTTTAGTAAACGGCGTTCTTATATACGACCTTACAGTGTTAATCTCACCAGACAGATAAAATTTGATAAAATATTTGCAACAGACTCTGAATTCTTTCAGGCTAGGAGTACACACTAATAGAGATGGACTTGATTTACAGATTTCTAAATATATTATCTTGACAAAAAAATAAATACATCGGGTTTGTATAAATGAATGATCCACTGCCTATAGTATGTATATACATGACCCACTGTCTAAATATATCGGGTTTGTATGAATGGCCGACTGTCTATTATATATATAAATAGCCAGGGTTTGTATAAATGACCCACTGTCTATAATATAAATCATATTTACCGAGACAAACACCATCTGAACATGTCAACATGTACTGGTTCTATGAATGTAGCTCAACTAAACATTCTCAAATTATATAATATTGTAAGTTTATAAAGCAATACATACCTATATCTGAACAAAACATAAGTATGCCATCTATTAGACCGCAATTCTCACCTGAAATATAAAACATGTATATAATATCAATTGAACACCAAATTAATGGTAAATTTTTTGTGGGTGCTAACTCTATGATGCAGAAATTCCCGGATTGTGTTGAAACTTTGAATACATGTGATCAACATGCAAAAGATGGCCACGCCCTGTTTTCAGACTGGGAGCCACGGTGGTGGCTAGGTGGTTAAGACGCCGACTCGCTAGCCTAGAGGTCGGGTGTTCGATCCCTGCATTGGCCGAGAAAGTTCATCGGGCTTTTCCGACGTGGTTTCCCCTTATCAGTGATGCAGAACGGAGGGCCTGGCAAGGACAGCTGTCTAGTCCTTCGGATGAGACGGAAAACCGAGGCCCCGTGTGTACATTGGAATGCACGTAAAAGATCCCTTGGCAGTTGGAATTCGATATAAGAGTAGGCGATAGTGCCGCTGCCCGGGCAAAATTTCCCTCATAGCACACTGTATGGCGTATGCCCGTCTTCATTAGCCCAGTATAAGAGCAGAACAGTAGGACGTTAAACCTCATTTCATTTCATTGTTTTCAGACTGTATGGTCAAACGGTAATGCTATTGATTAAATCGTAGTTAAAATATCAACAGTTTGTAAACCTTGTGAAATCAGTAAGACGTGCTGCTCCACAATTTTTAGCAAGATTTCAAGATTTTTATAAAGTCTTGAAAATGTTGAACAGTTTCGATGATACTTTTCACTAATTCATTGTATTTGATCTTGAGTTTAAATTTTAACAGTTTATAAAGTTAAAGATAAGGGTCTAGCTAATGTCATTTAACTGTTTGTAAGTTCGTTAGCAATTCAATTCTGCGGTACCAGTTTTAATCAACGAACAGGTAACATGTTATACTTACTTCTGACTACACAAGCATCATCAATACACACTTCATTGTTAGTTTCATTACATCGTTTACCTGCACAATTGGTAGCTGAAAAATACAATCAAATTACAAGTTAGATGCACGATATACTTATTGACGGTGGCTAAGTGGGTAAGACGCTGGCTCGCTAGCCTGGAGGTCGGGTGTTCGATCCCTGCATTGGCCGAGAAAGTTCATCCTGATTTTCCCGCGTGGTTTCCCTTGTCAGTGAAGCAGGACGCAGGGCCTGACTCACAAGGACAGCTGTCCAGTCGTTCGGATGGGACGAAAAACCGAGGTCCCGTGTACACATTGGCATGCACGTAAAAGATCCCTTGACAGTTGAAATTCGATATAAGAGTAGGCCATAGTGCCGCTGTCCGGGCAAAATTTCCCTCATAGCACACTGTATGGCGTATGTACGTCTTCATTAGCCCAGTTCGGAGCAGAACAGTAGGACGTTAAACCCCATTTCATTTCATTTTCACTTTTTTTCTTATTTACCTATTTAGCCATATTAACAAATGGTAGCCATGCACGATACGGACACATTTTGCAAGAGATGGATCGAGAACAATTTAAAAAAAGCGATTTGTCGTACAACCAGGGGCCATAAAGCTGGATGTTACACTGTTAAAATTATATGTATATTAACAGTTATAAACATAGTAAAAACACAGTGTCGAGTTTTCACATCACATGGTTATTTCTATTAAAGATACATTATGGGAGATTCGATAACGAGTTGTCAGTTCTCATTATAATAATTCAAAACTAGATAACGTAAAGGCAATTTGCTGAAAATTTCATTCAAATTGATCCACTATGAACCGAGAACTAAGCGAATCAAATTTCTGCCTAGCCTCGGTCATCATTACTAAAGTCAGTACGATAAACAGCATAGTCTCGATTATCCATTTAATCGTTTAGTGGAGAAGGAAAGTTATGCAGTAAATCGGCTCACAATCCACTTAAGATCACAGGCTAGCGATGCCATCTAGAGTTGATTATGGTCTGGATAAGTTAATTAATGTCTAATTAATAATTTAGATAACATTTCAGGCCTAAAGATTTAGCTCTTGCATAATGCATGTTTAAAGTAGCTAAGTCTCTAACTCAATATCATCCAAAATCTTCAACATTGAAAACACAAATTATTTGTCAATTTAAATCAACATTGATGCTGTGATCTTACCGGAAAAAGATGGGCTTCTGATATCCAATATTTAAGACAAAATAAACATTTTGCCATTGGTGCACGAATCATGTACCATAATGCGTTTCAGCTCCAGTTCTAGCAAGAGACTCGAGGAACGAGGCTAAACATATTGCACCAAACCAGACGGCGTATGTAGACTGGAATAACCAGGCGCTAGAAATTTGCATTCGATTGAGACTGCGGGCTTATTTCGCGGAACATAACTGATTTGAAATTAGAGTAAAAACGGAAACCATTGAATGTATAGCAGTTTATATACATTCATATTACAGTATTATATGAGTTGCGACCCACTTGTGTCAACTTCTAGGTCCCAAATGTTAGCGATTTAGCTCCTTTAAATTAAACACAAAGTAAATGCATATGAATACAAGGCTTATGTAAGATTACATCAAACGTAACGTGGAACTATAACCATATATGTCATTTTACAAAATCTGAGCTGTGCATTAACAGAAATATTATTTTTACTGCAAATTGTAAATTTACTGTCAAATAATGGGCACATTGGTATTCCCCTTTTAAAGGCTCAATACCACTCTTGTTGTAACTGAATAATATGTCCCAATCTTTATTCTGGTCAACAAATTGCACTATTTTACAATATTCCAATTAATTGATGATACAAATTTCATCTTAACGCACCTAATTTAAAAAAATGGAAAAATTCAACTAAATGATTTGAAAAGCCTGACGTAAAGCTTTTCAAATGTGACTTGGATTTGAAAATATTTTTGAACCTCTGGACAAGTAAAATGGGATTTAATGGATAATTTACACAACAGGTGGGACACTAACACATCTAGTACTTAGAATAAGGCTATTTTTTATTTTCTGGAGCTGTCAAGCCAGCAAGAGTGTTTTTTGTCCCTTTAAACACATGTATAATTTTGAGAACATATTTACTGTTCTGTCAGTCAGTTTAGTTAGTCTATTTTAGAGAAATGGGTTATTGAAAATCTGAATGCACCTAATAATAAGCCATACATTGTGTTGTGTAGGGCATTTTGCTTGGACAGTGTCACCCCACCTACTCTTTCCATCGTTTGATGTTGCTTTTTCATGCTCGACTGAAAGGTCGCCAAAACTTTCTATGTTGGCCAGGATCTAACCTAGAACTACTTAGCCACGCTGGGAGAGCCATGTTCCCTTTAGTAAGTTTACCTCGGCAAATTATATAATATGTAAATCTACACTAGAATGGTAAATTTACTTGCAGAAATATTGCTATTTGTAACGAGGTATAATTACACAATATAGTTTTACCAATTTATATAAATGGTGATTTTACATGTAAATTTACCTTGGGTGTATAATAGCTAGAGGTAAAGTTATAGACTGTGAAATAACATCCAATGTTAAAATACAGTTGTGATGATGGCAACATTTTTGCCAGCTTAAAAAGGGTAAAAATACATAATAATTTAAACAGTGTACGGCCCCGACTTGCGACAATATCAAACGGAACCAAGATCTTTGGTATATAAACATACATTTTAAGTTTCATCAAAATTGGATAACGTGACCTTTCAGGCGTCCATAATCTAAAAAAACACAATTTTTCGTACAATCAGGAGGCATAATCCAGGACGTTGCGGTCCGATATGCGCGAAAATATCGGCAGGGGCCCCTGAGATCTTTTTGGATACAAACATATATTTTAAGTTCCATTAAAATCAGATCAAAATTGTGACCTCTAGAGGGTTCACAACCTTGTTATTACATACTTTTACACTATTTGCGTACAAGGAGCGGCCATTTTATCTGGCAATTCCTGTCCGATATTCCCGAAATTCGTACTCGTCTGTCATTATAATCTAACAATGTTTTTTTTAAATCGGATATAAATTGTGACTTCTAGATATGCCAATATCGAGAGGAACCGAGATATCAACCTATATTTTAAGTTTCGTCAAAATCAGATTAATATGATAGAGAGAGAGAGAGAGAGAGCGAGAGAGAGAAATGGGGTTTAACGTCCACTTGACACAAACTAGGTCATTTCGGGACTAACACATAGTTCAATTTTATTTCAATAATTCGCCTGCGCGTAAGGGGTCCTTACCATTGGAAGGAAACCGGAGGACCCAGAGAAAACCCACGAGGTTGGACAGGCGACCCTACTCCTTGTCACGTACAACTGGGGAATCGAAACCCCGCCAGTTGACTCAATGACAGACCGTATGATACAGCGCAGCGCGCATGTGCTAACCATTCGGCCATCCAACCCCCCAGATTAATATGATAACCTGTAGGGTATCCACAAACAAATGTGAACAAACGGACAGAAACACCGACGACAACATCCGTCCACATGAAAATGTGGATGTATAAAATGATTGAAGGGACAATAACACTCTTGCTGGCTTGAAAGCTCCAGAAAATAAATAATATCTCTATCTAAGTACTAGATGTTTAAGTGTCCTACCTGTTGTGTAAATTATCCATTACATCCTATTTTACTTGTCCAGAGGGTTCGAAAATATTTTTAAATCGAAGTTTCATTTGAAAAGGTTTACGTTAGACGTTTCAAACCATTATGTTGAATTTTTCAAAATGTTTAAATAAGGTGTGTTAAGATGAAATTTGTATCATCAATTAATTGAAATATTCTAAAATAGTACAATTTGTTGACCAGAATAAAGATTGGGACATATTATTCAGTTACAACAAGAGTGGTATTGAGCCTTTAAGTGACATTTAACAAAACATTCGAAGGAATATGTCTAGTTAATCCACAAATTATATGAGTGAAATTTAAATTTGATCAGTAAATAGATATCTTACCATCGGTGTTACATTTTATTAGAGCACAAGTTCCCCCGCTAGCGTCACACTCTGTCACATTACAGACTCTCCCTGTAAAATAATATTATAATACTGTTAATATAAATAAACACTCATTATTAGATATGTGATAAATCATTGCACCCTGGATGTTAATCGCAGCATCTGATCATATGATTCACCACCTGGAACAGTGATCATTCAATAGAGAGATACAACTCACAACACAATGTCCACGTAAACATTTCACATTCAATCTAAAGTAATAATACTTTGTCCTTTTTGTTCCTAATATATTTATCTGATAGGTTACCGCCTCTGACAAGTTTAAATCTATAGTTATCGTCTGTCATTGCACCAACTGAAATTCTGTCATTCTAATAGCAACTTTGTTTTTATACACGTCTACAAGGTGGCTTTCATTAATCAAATCATAGTTAACATGTAAATATGATTTTGTCTCACCCCCTTTCACCGGTGTTGTGCCTTCTTCAGAATCTGAAATAGAGACAAAATCAAGGACAACGTGGCATCCATTAATTATGGGGATCACGTGGCTAGCCTGGAGGTCGGGTGTTCGATCCCTGCATTGGCCGAGAAAGTTCATCCAGATTTTCCGGCGTGGTTCTCCCTTGTCAGTGATGCAGGGCGGAGGGGCTGACAAGGAAAGCTGTCTAGTCGTTCGGATGGGACGAAAAACCGAGGTCCCGTGTACACATTGGCGTGCACGTAAAAGATCCCTTGGCAGTTGGAATTCGATATAAGAGTAGGCCGTAGTGCCGCGGTCCGGGCAAAATGCCCCTCATAGCACACTGTATGGCGTATGCCCGTCTTCATTAGCCCAGGTTAGGAGCAGAACAGTAGGACGTTAAACTCCATTTCATTTCATTTCATTTCATTTCCATTAATTATACTTTAGTTAGAATGTAAATATGATGTTTCCTGGTCATCTTTAATTGTGGTTGTGTTGCAATTTTCTAATTCGGTAAAACGTGGCGAATGGGTCAACACAACAGCCATGGCTGGAAAAATCACAGAAATCAACAGATCGAAACAGTCTGATTCGAAAGGAAAACTTGAAGATAGGAGATAACTCTGATAGTAATAAATTTAATTCAGTGAAAATCAATATTATTGTGCGTCTTATGATCATAAACACTGTTTATAAATATCAAGCTAATCGACTTAAGTCTTAATTAAAACTGTGTTATTAATTGTATCCAAAATACGTGACGGGCAGGCGAGCGATCAAATTGTACTAGTCCTCCGAATTCATCTAAAGGCGACAGTGCAGCAAATAGAAAATTCATCCTAGCTTTTCTCTGCGACCATAAAACTGTATTTTTACAGTGTAACAATATGTGCACATTACACAGGGAGCAAGTTAGTACAAGCTTACCTTGGCAAAAGGCTCCTATAAATGTAACAGAGTGATTTATACCTGAAGTTGACGTTTATATTGTGTTCGTTATTTATTTTTAATAAATAACCTGTTGTGACAATCTGATCTATAACTGAAGTTGATGTTTAAACTCTCGACAACTTCTGTGAAGACACGTTCTTAATAAACATCTAGTTTATTCAAGATGTTCTTGAACAAGCTACACATGATCCGCGTGTAACACTAGACTGAACTTCAAAGAGAATGTATCATATATACCTTGACCTGACAATGACTTTTAAAGAAATATGCAGTTTAATTACAAACACCATAATTGATAATAAACAATACCATATATGATTATCACTCCTGCCACCTCAGCTAATTGTTAGAGGCTTTATAAGCAGACGTTTACTGACAGCAAGTCAGACTTGGAATAGAGCTTCCACCGATTTATGTCTATTTCATGTTCTCAATAAATGTTTTATACATTATGCTGATATTCTGTTATCTGTAAGAAAGTGTTACATAAATCCAAGAGGACAGCTACAATTTGCAACAAATTCTGATGGATAACACGTGCCATTATTTACACAGGGGTCGTATACATGACAGGGATTTACTAAAAATAGATTTAAGAAATGTAGACCTCACATACGTTAGTAAACATGTATGTGAAACAGTTAGTGATCATAATTCCAATTGTTAATAAAGTGATAATGTAATATGGATATTTCTTATTTAAACGAGGATAATGGCGAGTTAGAAATTACCAGGGATTTATACATACATTATGCAAGAGTTAAATCGGTCAATTGCAAGTCTTTATTCAGGCTTCAGATGTTATAGAAATTATTTATTAGACCTTTATTTACATGACAAGCTCAAAATCAATTCTGTAGACACACGGATGGCTTGCATTTAAACAGTCGTCCATTTAAAATTATATTAATAAATGGCTAACCAAGCTAACGTTTACCGTTAGTCACTGACGTCACTACCGGAGACTGCCGATGGAAGGCCTGCCAAGCGAAGGTACCGTAGCCATTGAGAATGTTACTTGATAAGAGAATATGTGGGTGGAGTAATCGTCTGTCAATCAAACGATCGGCAATTCTTGTAGACGGTGCGGACACAATTATAAGTAATTATAGTGGCATCTGACTGTATAGGATGTTAGTGAAATGGTCCAATGAGTAGCAGATAAACGAGGGAATAATATTCAATAACCCCGTTTACATTACAAATTTTTAAGCGTGCCAGGAACGGTACCAGGCACGGCACGGTTAATTTTTTTAACATAAGCGAACCGTACTGAGTACCGTGTCAATCTGGCCCACTGAAATGAGGTGGTCTCGGCACAGTACCAGGCGCGGCGCGGTTAAATTTTCTTAGTGTAAACGCTATCCTGTCTGAGCACGTTTTCAGTATGAATAACTGCGCATGCGCGGAACGAACCTTGACCATTTTCCCCTGCAAACTTTGACAGTTCTGTCATCAGTTCTGTCAAAATGGCTGCTCAAACTAAATCAACCATCATAATTGTTTTCATCTGGGTAATTTGTATAGGGACTGAAATTAACTTTTATGTGAAGAGTTCCACATTTGGCGTGCTTGGCACGGTTCAGAGACCGGTTATTTTAGATTAATGTAAACGGGTCAATTTCTTGAAATTTATCGCGGCCTCATGGTACCGTGCCCAGAACGGCACGCTTATCGCAGCCAAGTGTAAACGGGGCTAATGGCAATGAATTTATACTAGACTGTCTTGTGTATAAAAAATATACTAGCAACTGTAAAGGAGGTCGATTATATGTAGGTTTTATCGATTTTAGGTGCGTCTCTGTCCGAATTAATCGATACATTGTTAGAGCATTATTACATTGTCCAATGATTTTTATTTTACAAAGTATTTACATTATTGTAAAGATTTAATTCAGATGTAATGGGCGAAATCTTATTTTAATCTGGTGTCAAACAAGGCTACATCCCGAGTCCTTTCAGGTTTGGTTTGTTCATAAATGAGCTTGTTGGCTGGTCAATCAAGGGTGACTAAATTATTATGACAATAAAGAATGTACGTAACTTACCGTCACAGTTTTCTCCTAAATATCCTGTAGCACAATTACAGCTGTAACCGTTATCAACTGGTGAACAAGTGCCATTATTTTTACACGGGTTAGGTAGACACACATTCACTAGAATTAAATATGCACAAATAATATAAACATCATGGCCGGTTTCTCTACAAAAGTATTCGCCCGTGCATTAGTTCCCTGTATATCTGTAAATACAATCAGTTTAACCCTCCCTCCCTCCCCCTCTCTTCTCTCCCGGGAAATTATTGATACACAATGTATATACAATTTATCTTACCGTCACAGTTTTCCCCTAAATACCCCGGAGTACAACTACAGCTGTAACCGCTATCAACTGGTAAACAAGTACCATTATTTTTACAAGGGTTTGGAGTACAGGCTGATCCTAGAATTAATAATATTAACCTAAGTAACAACTCTGATAGTTTTTCTATTACACAGTTATACATTAATTACTTGGTAAATGTTATAAAGGATTGACACAAAAAATTTAACGTTTATAAAAGTGAAACATAAAATGTGGGCGTAAATATTTGTTTACCACGATGAAGATCATTTTGAAATGGGTTAATAAATAGAACAGCGTTCTATAATCATTGTACCCACAGAAGAATATCAATGCCTGAGTGAAGGTGCGGGAATGGTGAATCAAACATATTCTTCACCGTGATGGGATCCCAAGGAAACCAGTTTGTCAGAGGGCCCAGAGCTACCCAGTCAACCCGGACAACAATGGACGTCACTTGGGGTTTGTTGTGTTTTGATAAAGCATGCCAGACATTATATTATATAGGTCGGCAGTCCAACTGTACAGGGAGTCATTGGTCGAGAAAGTTCATCCAGATTTTCCGGGATGGTTCCCAGTTCGGAGCAGAACAGTAGGACGTTAAACCCCTTTTCATTTAATTTCATATCCACCTGTACAGTGTAATCGAAAACAACAAATCTTTGAAAATAGAAAATAAATATTTAAAAATAACAAAAGCTCACCTTTGCAGCAGGATTCACACAGATGAGCCTCTTTTACCTCTGAGCAACTGATGCATCTTGGATTTCGCATCCCTCCATATCGTGCCCAAGGCCACCCACTGTTTTGTCCAGAGACATTCACAACAGTGGTCAAGACCAACGCAATCCACAAAATAACATGCATTGTGATACTATACTATTAAAAAAAAGTAGGGGATATTTGATTTTGGGGGCATAATACTAAAATATGCAAATGACTACGAAAAAAGTCACTATAGAACCTAACAGAAGAAACATTTCCAGTTACATGTGACGCCCAAACGCACCAATAGCTACCGCATGGAATGCAGGTGATGCTTGGGATCATCATGGGGGTCCAACCCAAGATTTGCACGACTCTGACTTTGAATGTTACAGTCATTGTGGCATTGAATTCCAGGGTGGAAACATCAGTTTAATTGTTTTAGTGACCAGAAAACAAATTTTGATATGCGTCGGCTTACCCAAAATGAAAGGTTACGTGCCCTTGGCATGCTACAGATCGGCACAACACAGGCGGTTGTGGCGCGGACGATGAATGTTTCTCATGGTCCAGATACCGAGATACACAATCTGTACAGGACAGACCACGCTCAGGTCGACCAAGGGCGACAACTCAAGCCCAGGATCGATTTATCCGTACCTTGGCCTTGAGAAATCGTGTCATCACAGCAAATCAGATCGGCGCTCGTCTTCAAACAGACACTGGTGTGAGAGTGAGTGGCCAGACGATTCGGAATCGACTGCATAGGGGTCACCTTCGCGCCCGACGTCCTCGCGTGATCCCTTGTTTGAGAGATCATCACATTCAGGCAAGACGTCGTTGGTGTAGGGATCGTCAACACTGGGATAATCGACGCTGGAGCAATGTGATGTTTTCAGATGAGTCAAGGTTCACTGTTGATTTTTTGGACAGACGTAGGAGGGTGTGGCGTCGTCGAAACGAGCGCTTCCAAGACGTTAACGTCATCAGACATGATCGATTTGGGGGTGGTTCTGTTATGGTGTGGGGAGGCATCACTGTTGCTGGAAGAACGGCTTTACATGTTGTTGCAGAGCGTGTTACAGGCCAGTACTACCGGGACAACATCTTGGCAGTCCATGTTGTGCCGTTCGCACGACGTCATGGCCGCCGTTTCATCTTCCAGGATGACAACGCAAGATGTCACAGGGCCAGGATCGTTACAGGTTACCACCAGAACATCACCACATTACCTTGGCCAGCACTGAGTCCCGACCTCTCCCCCATCGAGCATGTCTGGGACATGCTTGGACAGAGGTTACGTCAACGTCAACAACGTCCTGCCAATGTCCAAGAACTTGCTGCTGCGTTGCAACAGGAATGGGACAATCTGGACCAAAATGACCTTAGACGTCTCATTAGGAGTATGCCACGTCGGATCAATGCTTGTTTGGCAAACAGAGGAGGATTTACCCGTTACTGACTTGGTTGTGATGCTGTGGTAACTTTGCTGTTTGACCCCGGGTATCATTTTACCCTTATAATGGTCAGTCTGTGCCTTACTTAGTCTAACGATCATTTGGAATAAATCGATGAATGTGAACTTCATTTCATTTTGTCATTTGTTTCTTCGTCAGTTTCATTAGGTGACTTTAATAACACTTAAAAATCAAATATCCCCTACTTTTTTTGAATAGTATATAATGCTATACTATAGCGCAAGAGTACGTAAAACAATTAGACTGTTGAACGCGTAGTTTATCGTTTGTTTTATACACAAATACCTGATCACATGTGTTCTTTTGTACATTATGTTTTTGGCGGATTCTCCCAGTAAATAATATGCATAAGTTGTGCTTGGAAGTAAAATCTATAACTTTTATTTGGTCGTTAATTTTAGATCTGAAGGTTTTAGCAATCAGCTTCTTGTCGACATGTTGATTTGATTTTATTCCCGGAAATAATATTTTATATTTGGATTGTTAGTGTTTCCTCCTTGAACGTGATTGGTTATTCAAGATAAACGTGGCTTAAGGACAGTCATTGTCCATGATGCACGGTATACCCAGGCTAATGACTGGAAACTATAATAATAGGAAACGAATTCAGGTCAATGTTATATAAATTCAAGCAATAAACAAAGCACGGCTAGCCATGAATGTACATCCACTTATATGATTGGTAAGATCGTGTAGGCCGTTTTACAAGAATTGTTGGCGCAGTCGAGGAGGAATTCAACAACAAAAGACCCCCTCCCCATCCCATTTCGCTTAAGAGTAGCAACGCTTATTGCGGAAATCAAGACAAATATGTTTGTACATTTACAAACAAATTCTTTAATCGGCTTAAATCGATTGCAACACATGTTTAAATATTTATATCCTCAGCAGTTAATAACCTAGCTAATGATTGGTTATATCATATCCAGTTACCATGAAATATAGATTTATTATATATCTTTACAGATACTTACAGGGAAACATTATTGTCATTTTAATAAATAATAATAATAATAATCGTTTTCTATAGCGTTGAACATTCAGTCAGTCTGACTGTTCTGTGGAGCTTTACAATGTAGATGTGATTATAAAAAAAACATACATGTACATGTATATACAAATAAACAAAAGAATACAAAGGAATAGCCAAGTTGCAATATACAAATGGAAAGTGAAGCATTTAAATTATAGTTCAAACGTTTGGGTAAAAAACAGTGTTTTTAGACGTCGTTTAAATATAGCCAAGTTTAGACTTTGTTTTGACTTCCAGAGACAATTTGTTCCATTCTTTGGTGTTGCGTTTTACAAACTGTTATAGTCACGTGCCATGAGCAATATAAGGACGTCGTTTAAATATAGACTATTTTGGACTTCCAAAGGCAATTTGTTCCATTCTTTTGGTGCTGCGTTTTACAAACTGTTATAGTCACGTGACTTGAGCAATATAAGGAATGACTTGAAAACTATAATATTGTAAAAATGGTTCATCAATCTCAATCTCTGCTTCTCTCGACTGCCATCTTTATAATTCGCGAAATCTATGTGTTGTTGTTGTTTATTACAAATGTAACATTCACTACATTGTAATATGATATTATAGACAGGTTGATTTAATTGCGGTCTTTACATATATGAAGGCGTAATATAAAAAGGAAAATTGGTAAGCCATTTTTTTAAAAAAGTTCTTGTATATCAAAATGTTACTGTTAAACACGGTGTTAAAACTCGCTGCCAATGCGAATAGAATAAATCACCTGGAGAAAAAAAAGCTAGTTTTAAAAACTATATTGTACTCAATCAGAATAAACCACAAAATAATAATTTTAAAAAAGTTAATTTACAGTATTCTGTTAGTTATTTTAGTTTGTAAGAGCCCAAATTTAAAGCAAGGGTCATATTACTTTGGATTTCGACGAATCGTATTCCACTTGCTGTTGTCTTGTAGCTGATACCATAAGCTTGATTTTATGTTGTAATAAGCAGTTATAGGTCCTTTCCCTGCGACGTTATATGATTTATGTTTCGCCTACCTCTGTTTTTGGTTTATAACCGGGGAAATTTCAACAAAACCACGGAAAATAAATTATTTTTGGACTCAAGAAGGTGCGACCTCGATAAAATGGTGTACCAGGTGATCCTGGACTACTAGCTGGGATCTCTGGCCTTAACTGATTACTATGGTTTAGATCCCGTCTTGTAACAACTTGGACACTGGTCAGTTGTCCAGCCCCGAATGTCAATCCCATGTCCACACACTGTGGTCTGATTGGATAGTCTTCAGCCGAGGATTGGCTATGTTCCGATTGGGTAGAAAGCGTAAGCCAATCAGCTATCGACCGACGCTACAAGGATGTCAAAATTCTGAACAAATTGAAAATCGACAGATATATCATAACACAGGCCAACAGCATCTGGTAATGAGTCAGTTATCTGGTCATGACCAATTGACTTATAAAGATGCCTCGATAGCAAACAACCGTCAATCCCCAACAACAATTCATTGTGCTGTTCGAGTTTGTTTAACGAATAACGTGACAGGACTCGTTTCTTTATTCGGGACTCAAATAAAATCATTGTCCATTTGTCAAGATAATTTTTTGTTATTTAATTGCCATATAAGAAGGACACCGCGGCATAAAATAGTAATTTTATTTCGATCCCGAATAACGAAACACGTTCTGTGTCGTTATTCGTTACTCCAAATTTGAATCCCGAAAAACGAAACGTGTTATGTCTCGTTCTTCAGGAAATTGACACAAATGGGTCGCAACGCATATAATAATGTAATATGAATGTATTACATTCAATCGTTTCCGTTTTTACTCTTAATTTCAAACCAGTTATGTTCGGCAATGGCAACATCTAGCGTCTGGTTATTCCAGTCTACGCCGATAGTATTTATTGCGCATGCTCTCCAGATAAGAATATGGGTCACCGTTTGACATGACTAGTGGTATATGTCTAGCCTCGTTCATCGAGTCCCTTGTTAAAATAGTGCTGAAACGCTTTATGGTAACGATTCGTATACGCATGGTAACAAGTTTATTTTGTCTTAAATATTGGATATCAGAAGCCCATCTTTTCCCGGTAAGATCACAACATCAAGGTTGATTTAAATTGACAAATATTTTGTGTTTTCAATGTCGGAGACTTTGGATGATATTGAGTTAGAGATTTAGTTTCTTTAACTTTATGGGGGGTTGGATGGCTGAATGGTTAGCGTGCGCGCGCTGTGGTTTCGATCCCCGGTTGTACGTGGCAAGGAGTAGGGTCGCCTGTTCAACTTCGTGGGTTTTCTCCGGGTCCTCCGGTTTCCTCCCACTGTTCAAGACTCCTACGCGCAAGCGAATTATGTAAAAAAAAATTAAACCATATGTTAGTCCCGAAATGACCTAGTTTGTGTCGAGTGGACGTTAAACCCCATTTCTCTTTCTCTCTCTCTTTAACTTTATAATGTCCCTTTGACTCCCTGGTTTGATTCCCGGTGTAGAAAAGACAGGGGCTGGACTGAAAATGGAATATCCCGTCCTTCGGATTATACAAAAACCCGTGATCGGACGTATCTAACGATATTTCGGTTGACTCCCTGGTTTGAATACATTTGCTAGCAATACCAAGAACACACGGAATTTATTACAACAATCAATATGTTTCATTTATTGATTTATTCGCATGGCTGCCATGTTGCATATGATAATCAAATTTTATACACGTGATGGATTAACTCATCGGGAAACAGAATGGGAAAATAAAATTTTATTTCAGCAATGGAAATGTTTAATTTATTGATTTAATTACATGACTGCCATGATGCATATCATAATCAAATGTTATATATATGGTGGATTATAATAGAGAGGGAGAAATGGGGTTTAACGTCCACTCGACACAAACTAGGTCATTTCGGGACTAACACATGGCTCAGTTTTATTTTAACAATTCGTGTGTGCGTAGGGGTCTTTTAGCAGTGGGAGGAAACCGGAGGACCCGGGGAAAACCCACGAGGTTGGACAGGCGACCCTATTCCTTGTCACGTACAATCGGAGAATCGAAACCACGCCAGTTGACTCAATGACAGATGTTATGATACAGCGCGCACATGCTAACCATTCAGCCATCCAACCACCCTGGTGGATTAAGTTACCAGAACACAGAATGGAACAATAACATTTTCACGATAAAAAGTAGATAGAGTTAGTCCAGTCCTTATATTACCTTCCCAATTCACAATTATAATTATAATACGAACTGGAGAACTGCACATCGATGGACGGACTTTGAATCTTTACATGACGTCAGAATTAATGGTCGCTTCCTAGCCCGTATAGTACGCTCGTTCTTGGGTAAAACATCTTCTAAAACCAGCAGCTCTCGTTCTATTATACTATTCAAAAAAAGTAGGGGATATTTGATTTTGGGGGCATAATACTAAAATATGCAAATGACTACGAAAAAAGTCACTATAGAACCTAACAGAAGAAACATTTCCAGTTACATGTGACGCCCAAACGCACCAATAGCTACCGCATGGAATGCAGGCGATGCTTGGGATCATCATGGTAGTCCAACCCAAGATTTGCACGACTCTGACTTTGAATGTTACAGTCATTGTGGCATTGAATTCCAGGTTGGAAACATCAGTTTAATTGTTTTAGTGACCAGAAAACAAATTTTGATATGCGTCGGCTTACCCAAAATGAAAGGTTACGTGCCCTTGGCATGCTACAGATCGGCACAACACAGGCGGTTGTGGCGCGGACGATGAATGTTTCTCAGTCTGTCATAAGCAGGCTATGTTCCAGATACCGTGATACACAATCTGTACAGGACAGACCACGCTCAGGTCGACCAAGGGCGACAACTCAAGCCCAGGATCGATTTATCCGTACCTTAGCCTTGAGAAATCGTGTCATCACAGCAAATCAGATCAGCGCTCGTCTTCAAACAGACACTGGTGTGAGAGTGAGTGGCCAGACGATTCGGAATCGACTGCATAGGGGTCACCTTCGCGCCCGACGTCCTCGCGTGATCCCTTGTTTGAGAGATCATCACATTCAGGCAAGACGTCGTTGGTGTAGGGATCGTCAACACTGGGATAATCGACGCTGGAGCGATGTGATGTTTTCAGATGAGTCAAGGTTCACTGTTGATTTTTTGGACAGACGTAGGAGGGTGTGGCGTCGTCGAAACGAGCGCTTCCAAGACGTTTACGTCATCAGACATGATCGAATTGGGGGTGGTTCTGTTATGGTGTGGGGAGGCATCACTGTTGCTGGAAGAACGGCTTTACATGTTGTTGCAGGGCGTGTTACGGGCCAGTACTACCGGGACAACATCTTGGCAGTCCATGTTGTGCCGTTCGCACGACGTCATGGCCGCCGTTTCATCTTCCAGGATGACAACGCAAGATGTCACAGGGCCAGGATCGTTACAGGTTACCTCCAACAACAGAACATCACCACATTACCTTGGCCAGCACTGAGTCCCGACCTCTCCCCCATCGAGCATGTCTGGGACATGCTTGGACAGAGGTTACGTCAACGTCAACAACGTCCTGCCAATGTCCAAGAACTTGCTGCTGCGTTGCAACAGGAATGGGACAATCTGGACCAAAATGACCTTAGACGTCTCATTAGGAGTATGCCACGTCGGATCAATGCTTGTTTGGCAAACAGAGGAGGATTTACCCGTTACTGACTTGGTTGTGATGCTGTGGTAACTTTGCTGTTTGACCCCGGGTATCATTTTACCCTTATAATGGTCAGTCTGTGCCTTACTTAGTCTAACGATCATTTGGAATAAATCGATGAATGTGAACTTCATTTCATTTTGTCATTTGTTTCTTCGTCAGTTTCATTAGGTGACTTTAATAACACTTAAAAATCAAATATCCCCTACTTTTTTTGAATAGTATATTTTGAAGTGTCATTCATTAACTCCTAGCTATTTGCCCGGTGTTGCGCGGGTGGGCCTCAGTGACAGTTCCTGTTGGGAGTTTTGTGAATCTTGAATTCGACTACGCAGAAAATAATCCCCAGCCCCAATAACGCACTGCATGACGTAGGCCGACTTCTATTTCCAGGGGCGAATCCAGGAATTTTTGCAGGAGGGAGTTTGCCAGGTTCCTGAGACAATATATCCCACCTCGAATTTTTTTTCTCAGAAATACATGGTCTCTATCGTGATTTTGGCGTATATACATACACACTGGGCTTTTTAAACAGAGAAATCCAACATCCCATTTGACGTCAATTTTTATTATGAATTCATACGATGACATTGTGATATCACATATGTCTATATCATCCCATCCCACCATCTGACGATAAAGGATAAAGCACACGGCCGAGAAACTTTTCAAATCATTACTAACAATTGTATCATTTCTAACATATACTAACAGCTTTATCATTACATACGGGAACAGTACACCCACTCGTGCAATATTGTGTTCCATAATTCATTTAAACTTAGATAAATGTTCCTTCATACTGAAACTGCTAACTAAATACCATGCACAATATATTACAAAATTTGACTGTTTTAATTCTATAACATACCATGAATAACTATTAACATGGTCTGTTAATCTGGATATTTTACTGTCTCAATGATAAACGCAGCAATATGAAGTAAACAAAATAAACAACAAACAAGCAACATACATAAGGTAAGTTTGTTTATTGTGCGATCTAGGTTATATTTTAATATTTTATTGGATCAACTGGTTGGTTTAATGAAGTAAAGAATAGTATATTGTAGTTGTTGGTATCTGGGTGTTGGTATCTGGGTGTTGGTATCTGGGTGCTTTAAAGAGTTACAGTAGAATATATTTAGAGTTGTTGGTTTATCAAAAACGACAATATGACTCTCCACAAAAGACATCTGAAAATACAAAATAATATAAATAAACAAACTGTCACAATCCTTCTTAATTTCATTAAATTTATGACAGACAGAGCGTAATTTTACAGAACACCATGGGTTATACCATCCATAACAACATCTGGTGTATATATTCAAATTAACCATGGAAGATAGAGGTACATCCTCCAGTTTACACCATGGTAGATGACTACAACATCATAAGGTAGATGTACAGTTAACATCATGACGGACAGAGAGTAAACCTATAATACACCCCCTTCAGTGTACATCATGGTCCACATATTACACTCAACGGGAACTAGGAGAGACGACATAAAGTTGTTGGTGTCAAATAATTTGTGTCTTTCTTCTTTATATATAAAGACGCTAAACTTGTTTATATATATATCATATTACGGTGGGTGATTATAAATAGAATAGTGAATATTTATAAATAGAATAGTAAATATTTACATGCACAGTGTCCACCAACACATGGCAAACCTCTACATTGCTTGTCATCATTACATGGTCCTATAAATAGATGTATTATATCATTACGACAATATGAATATCATGAATATTGAAGTTGTATTCATCAACATGGCAATAGGAACGAGTTATATTTACAGATTCTAGAAATATTATCGATAATATATATAAATAGCCAGGGTTTGTATAAATGACCCCACTGTCTATAATATAAATCATATTTACTGAGACAAACACCATCTGAACAAATGCCATCGGTGCAACTTTTACCATCAGTCCCACTACCACATATATCTGTATCTATAAGTAAAGATAATTTACAACTATCACAGCGTTGTATATCTATAATAAAGACAATTTACAACTGTGCTTTCATAAGATAAAAGGCTAACATGATCTGTTAGACAAATCATCCAACATAGGATAGTGTCACCAAGTGTACCTTCTGTAAACAATTTATAAGGAGGGCCTGACAAGGACAGCTGTCTAGTCGTTCGGATGGGACGAAATATCGAGGTCCACACATTGGCGTGCACGTAAAAGATCCCTCGGCAGTTGGAATTCGATATAAGAGTAGGCCGTAGCGCCGCTGTCCGGGCAAAATTTCCCTCATAGCACACTGTATGGCGTATGCCCGTCTTCATTAGCCCAGTTTAGGAGCAGAAAAGTAGGACGTTAAACCCCATTTCATTTCATTTATAAGCACAAAGTATCTGTCACTCGCATACGAATGAACCAATAATTTATAATAGAAACGGACGCGTTATGAATAACATATATCTATATTATACTTACACCTGCACGTGCCATTTAGACATTTAGTACCTATACGACAGAAGTTATCTCCACATGAATCACCTGAAACAATACAATATGCTTTATTTACAGCAACTTACAGTTTCTCTTAGGAGGTCGGTTTTTACCCATTTCTTGAATACAGCTAATTGTCTTTGTGTTGTTATCGATAACATTCCAGTTTACACAGAGAGTAGATAATTAGTGTATATAGGGTGGCCCAGAAAACACGAGTACACAAGACAGGGAACATGTTGACCATTTGTTTATGTAACCTGTGGTGACTGTGATGTGACTTCTTAGTCCGGCAAAACTTGATTTGACATTCTGTTTTAAAACCCGTATTATGTAAATAATATTTTTGCTGTGGATCTACAATTAGGAGTTTAGTTTTCAAACATCCATATTGTACGACATGTGAAACGTTAATGATACAAAACTTTTATAAATTATTCCACTTTAAATAGTGTAATCGAGTTTTTCTGGGCCACCGGATATAATCATTAACGTAATCATATAATTGCAAACATGAACTGGTTATATAATTATGACTTGTGGAATTAAATAATACTGTAAGATAATTTAAATATTTCAAAAATTGCAGGGATAGGTTTTTGAATAAAGTCGACTGTAGGTAGTTACACGTGTGATTCACGAGACGGGCTATACTTCCTCTGGAACACGTGATCGATATAACTTCTCATTTTGTTGTAATTAGATGCTTACTGCTGCGTACACATTTACCATCAACACAGACCTCGCCAATAGCTGTATTACAGCGTGTACCACCACAATTGATAACTGAAAAATACAACCAATTTAATGGTTAGAAGATTGATAACCTAGTTCAAGATTTATATATATTCAACAACTTCAGATGTAGATATTATCGTTGAGGAAAGATTCTTTATGATTGTCGTATTTGACCGTTTTTTTTTAAATTTGACAAGCCAGCGTCTTCCTCGCATAGCCATCGTGGCTCCAGTAGCTGAAAGAAGACTAGGTATCTTACCATTGGATGGACATCTCAATCCATAACACCGACCACCTCTCTCTTTACACTCTGTCACGTTACATTCTCTCACTGTAAAATAATAATATAGTATTGTTAATATAAACACTTCAGAAATCATTCCGCCATCTGAACTGTAGGACTTAAACCAGGTTTCTCGTGACTCAATACCAGACCTTATGTTCTAAAGAACACGCGCTAATCCATTCGGCCACACAACACCCCTGTAGGAATCGAGTACACGAACAGACAAAGACAATCGTTGTGAAACTAAATCGGAGAGATTTCGATTTGAGAGTTTTTACGTATTTTTGAAACAGGTTTCGAAGTGTTTTACTGCTGTTGTAGGCTACAAGATCTTTTTCGACATAGAAAAAAAAACGTACGGTGCTAAGGACACCCTAAAGATAAATTTTAAATGTTTCTATTATTAATTACAACAGGTTTCTCTTTAGTTTTTATATTTTACGCTGACGTTTATTGCGTTAAATCTTCCTAGTACAAAAACGGAAAACTTGACCTTTTGACCCCCAGGGTCACATAGAAAAAAGGTGAATTTAGCAAGTTTACATTTTTATTTAAATAATGATTACTTCCGATCATTGAGAGTATTTTTTCATGATACAAGAATGTCTGGCATTCACTTTCAGTGTAAATGATGTTACATAATCACAGATAATATAGACGCTTCCTGCCAACTTGACACCTGTTCGCTATCGACATCCCTGGAGTTCTTAAGGTAGCATCCCTAGGTGATTATGTAACGATTATGTAACCTTACCTTGTTGGCATGTCATATTTAAACTTTCTTTGATGATAAGCAAACTGTACTAAACGTTAAAACTGATATGATACATGATACATTAGCGAGATGTCTAATAAGATTCCTTTGTCTGGAAGGGTTTATAAACCCAGATAACAAACGAATCGACAGTGAGGTCCGGCCAGGACACGAGGGCGCAGGCCATGGGCGCACAGTCACTACACAAGACGGAACGAGGGAGAGGGTATTGGAGTTGGCACATTTGTGCCAAGCTAGGACATGGCTCCCTCAATACAAGTTAGTTCTGGGCGTCTTTAACATTAAGATGTTTGTACTTGATATGTAAGAAGCAGAGAATAAAAGTATTATAAGATGCTAAACTAGTCTTGTCATCTGAACCTGATAGAAAGCAATACTGTAACAATGACCTCATTTGACCCTGAATATTTCGAAAACGCACCAACGGCTGACTGATTACCACTCGGCATCGTATTCTTCCCCAAAAAATACTTGAGAAAAGTTGAGCCTGGTTTTGTGCCCATTTGATGGACCCCCCCCCCCGCACTGAACCTCTAGACTGTCATCTCATTGTCCAATGCTTCACACCAAATTTGAAAAGAACCTATAGCCCCTGACACGTTGACAGGCCAATTTCGGATGAATTTATGACCTCTAGAGCATCCACAAGATAGGCAGGGGTATTATACAATAAAAGATTATTTCATATTAAATGATATACGTATTTTCAATTTGACATTTAGTTACATGAGTCGTTTTTAATCCTTAACACATATTTCAAGTTTCATCTACATCGGACTGAGAAGCAGACGACATTATGCGTCCACATGAAAATTAAAAAGTTTATAACAGTCAAAATGAGAGAGAAATGCCGGAAAAATCTCGAACAAAGCAGTATGGCCCCAGACAAAAACCAAAAAGTATTTTTTTCCAACTTTACCCGCCAACCCGAATAGTTAGTACAAATTAATTCAGTAAATGTTTTTTTTTTAAATATTTCAGTTGATTCCATTTCAAATTGAGCTGTTGAATCAATGTCTATAGAAACAACTGGTTTAAATTAAATAATTGTTGGTTCGCTCGACCTGTGTTCATAACTGAACGTTTCTTTTTTTAAAAAAAGCTACTTCACGTCGGGTATGAGATGGTAGTTCATTAATTACTAAACTTTAAGCAGTCTTTAATAAATTTTCGGGTCTTTAATCAATACTTGAAGATGAAAAACGAATTCCCCTTTATTTTCAATATGTGTTTTCTCACATTTGTTTTATACAGACAGTAAAACTGAATAAAATATGGATATAACAGTGAAGGTATGAAATATAAATCTCTAAGAACAATATCATTAGATTTTGTCTTATTTAACCTATTGTATAAATGACAAGACACACTAAGTTGTGCTGGTGAGTTTTTTTGTTTGCTTATACTGTACATATTTTATTGAATGTGGATTTTTCTAAATTATAATTTTCAGAGTTAGTTAACAAGTCTGTTCAGCACATTTCTTGATTCAAAACAGCAAAGTGGGACAATATGTTTTCCCTGAAATCTAAAATATTATTTAGAAATATCCAGTTTTTTGGAGGAATATTCATTGTAAGGTAACGTGTTGCTAGGTAATATAATTTATTTGATACTAGGGTGAAGTATCCGGTAATAATTAATGGTTGGTAGAAAGTTAATATTGTAAATCAATATTTACACTGATTATCTTCAAGCATCAATTCACACTAGTACCAGTAATTTTAGATGATTTCATGAAATCTAAAACTTGCAATGACTAAATTAATAATAAAAAGAAAGAGGAATATTTTGGTTTGAGTTTTACATTATTGTTATTCACCTGCTTGTCCGTTCCACTTTTCGGGACAAGATAAATCTGCCTGTAAGAGCCAAACTTGTCTATTTTATGTCTTTCTTGTGGCCTCAAATGTAATATAAACTATTATTTAGACATTTATTCCCCTGACCAGCCTATAAAATCATCTCTCTAGACCATCAGATTGTCGTGATTTTCAATGCATTGAAATAATTTGATTTAAACAGGGATAATTGACACTGTTAATTATCGTAGCAATGATACATTACGATCAAGACAATATTGTGAACACTTCAAAGTCTGATAACGTCGCTCCGCAACGAGTAATTTGGCTAAGATTTTCAATTTATTCATCTTTAGACTTTAGTTTTGCGCGTTGTGTTGTACGTGTAGTCTTGTCTTGTAGCGTCACCTGCCAATTGAGGTATAACCTTCCTATGTGACACCATAGCCCGACTCAAGATAAGGAGTCCCCGAGACTGTGTAGAAAGTTTGGTGTCTACTGTAAACCACACGTTGATGGGGGTTCGTTATATTTTACGCCTGAGATAGAATTAACCATATTTTAGACCTGGGCTCTCCTTTCGGTACGATGAATATTATAAATGCTAACTAGACGGCCAGGATACCGTGAAGAACTTACTAATTCGTATTCAAAATTGGGGGTTTGAGTTGGTGAAAAAAAACTAGTTTCTTTGTAGACCCAATTTGTGTTTGTCTTATAAATCGTATATCTAGTAGATGAGGAGGAAGTGAGAGTCGTGGCCGGACAACTAACCGTAGCAATTATAGGGTAAGATCCGTCATATAAGGTCTCATGATGGACGTTCGGCGTAAAATATTAATATGAGTTATTCAACTTGAATCGAACTTTCTCATCGGTTGAATACAGATTCTAAGAATATATTTTGTAATTATTAAACTTGAAACGCCTATTAATCCAGAGGTCAATATAAATCGAACCTACTGATCAACTCAATGCAAGCTTCTCCAGATAAACAGATTAAATTAGACGGAAAAAGAACTGACTGGGTCAACTATCTCGTACATTTTGAATATGTGGCTATCTGTAAAGACCAGATTAAACGGAGCGGGCCCTGGGTACCTACCACTATGAAAATCATTTGTAATGGAAAAAGAAAAACAAATCCCCTAGAGACAACACGAAAGTAAACAAATAGGGCTGATTCGCAAATCACATTATAATAATGATAGAAAGCCCATGTAAACGTTTTAATATAAGACTGTTTCCGTATTTCACCAAACGTGAAATTGGATATATATATCACTTTATATACACTTATATTACACTAAACATACATTATGGCGTCACATTAATAATGATGTCATTGTATTAATCATATTAAACATACATTATACAAAAAAATATAACTGTCTATTGCTGGTCTTTCTTTAGGCCTGAAATGTTATCTAAATTATTAATAAGACATTAATTAACCTATCCAGACCATAATCAACTCTCGATGTCATCGCTAGCCTGCGATATTTACTGGATTAGGATTTTTTAACTTACCGACTTTAGTAATGATGATTGAGGCTATGGGAGGAAAATTCAATCGCTAAATTCTCGGTTCAGAGTGGATCAATGTGACTGAAATTTTCAGCAAATTCCAGTTAGATTATCTAGTTTTTAACTATTATAGTGCGAACTGTCAGCTCTTTATATAATCTCCCATAATGTATCTTTAATGCGTGCTTTTAAGGTTCTAAAAATTAGAGCTAACGACCTTTAACATAAACTGTTCAGAAAACACGCCCCGAGCGATACATAACTCATATTCTAATATTCGTGTGAAAGTGATAAGGAAATTTGAAATGCAACGGTATGAAAAGCAATCATATGAAAATTTATAAAGAGAAGGATATTTGAAATGCAATGATGAAATTAATTAAAACTAAATTACAGAAAATGAAAAGCGTATTGAACATTTTCACGTGGACGTATATTGTCATCGTTTCTGTCTGTCCAGTTCAACCAATAAAATATTAAAATTTAACCTAGATCGCACAATAAACTAACTTACCTTATGTATGTTGCTTGTTTGTTGTTTATTTTCTTTACATCATATTGCTGTGTTTATCATTGAGACAGTAAAATATCCAGGTTAACAGACCATATTAATAATTATTCATGGTATGTTATAGAATTAAAACAGCTATTTTAATATATCGTGCATGGTATTTAGTTATCAGTTTTCAATATGAAGGAAACATTTATCTAAGTTTAAATGAATGATGGAACACAAGATTGTACGAAAGGGTTATCGACTGAGACAGAGGGGTTCAAGTTAGGTGAACACGTTCAATTGCGCGAGCTCGGGTGTTCATCTAACTTGACCCCGAGGGTTGAAGGTCGGTAACTGACTTACACACTGGATTCTTTGTGTAAGAAGTTGAATGAGTCAATGAAAATGGGCGGATACGAGGAAGACGCAAGTTTATCACAGGCCCTTTATCACACAAAATAATTTTACTAAAATGTGGATTGGTATATGGATAAATGTATTTTAAGCCGATATGCTGATTTCCGGTTTTCGACACTTTTGTATACGCCAATATCGCGTATATTGTCGTCGCTCCCGTCAATTATGGCCATGAGACGAAGAATTCTGTTGATTTTCAATGATTTCCAGATTTATGGTCTTTGATATTTAATGTTTTTAGTAGGGCAGAATTAGAAGCCAAACAAGTATGACAATTACTTAATGGGTTTGTCATTCGTAATTATATTTTAGTGTGTTGTAAATGTTTTCCTTACCGACAAGGGGGCGGGGGGTTCGACGGCCGAATGGTTGGCGCGTCCGTGTTGTATCATAAGGTCTGTCATTGAGTCAACTGGCGTGGTTTCGATTCGCCGGTTGTACGTGACAAGGTGTAGGATAGCCTATCCAACCTCGTGGTTTTTCTCCGGGTCCTCCGGTTTCCTCCCACTGCTAAGGACCCCTACGCACAAGCGAATAATTGAAATAAACCCAACCATGTGTTAACAGTTGCGGTTCTCAATGAAAAATGATGCACAGAAAATATTTTCTTGGTCCCTACTATTGGGTGTTCAGCTAGACTGTTGTCTGGGATTTTCCACCCCGGGGGCTTATTGAGCAAGGTACAGGTACAGAGTCCGTGTGTTGACTAAGAAAGTTCCCCAGGATATACCAGCATGGTTTCCCCTTGACATAAAATGATATAGGATTTAACATCCTACTGTTCTGCTCCTATATTACTGGGCTAATGAAGACAGGCATATACCATACAGTGTGCTATGAGGAAAAGTTTGCCCAGATAGCGACGCTATGGATAACTCTTATTTCAAATTCTAACCGTCAATGGTTATTTAACATGTACGCCAGTGTGTATGTACACAATCCCTCGGTTTTTGTTCAATTCGAATTACTATACACCTGATGAACTTTATCTTCCAATGTAGGGATCGAACTCGGAACCACATTATTAATTATCGTTCTGCGACCTTCCATTCCGGAATTATGTAACACTACCTAGTGATAACAGTAGATCAGTTAAGTAAATATATGATTTATTTACATCAGGTATATAAAACAGCTACAGTTACATACATACAACGGGAACTAAACTACAACGGGAACTAAACTACATCGGGAACTAGACTACGACAGGAACATATATAACAATATTAAATCCACCATTCCTCCATTTGCCAAGACATCGTCTGAACTCGAGTCCATACGCTGGTCTCTTGTCTGCTTCTCTGCTTGTCTAGTCGTCTCCCCTTGTCTCAAGTCGTCTGCATAACTGTCGGTACACTCCTGATTATATAGCGCCGGAGAATAGATAAGACTCATGATCATGCATGCAATTGTCTATTTATCACGTCACGGTATGCTTACTGACCAGTGCATATTGCTTTGAAGTCATGTGGATCTTGTACACAGAGCAAATGTAGTTTGTAAATGACATATGGGATTAATTACATGTTTTAGATCATAGCCAGTCCGTGTGCCTTAACAGAATTTAAAAAGTCAATATCATATATTATCAAAAACACCTTAGGTCAATAAGTTCTCTACACCTAAATGATCGTTCAATTTGATGAAAGTTATAGAGTAGTTTGTCACAATTACCACCCTTTTCTGAAAACCCTGTCACCATAATAGAGGTCCAGTTTGTTGAAGGCATATCAACTTTGATCAAATTTCCACTCTTTGTGCAGCTATCAGCTTTCAGTTTAGATTAGAAATTAACCATACACTAACAGTTTGAATCCTGACACAAAAATTTACTTTAGATTAACATTCAATTTATAACTAATAACAAATATGTTAATATTATGTCTGAATTCCACATATTTATCATTTGTTAGAATGTACACACACTGGTATAATTATTTGATCCAAAATTACCGTTATTCAAAGCGAATAAATTATTACATCATTTTCTAACATAAAAATAACCATAACTATTCTGACGTAAAAGTAATACATTTAACAATATGATTTTTTACCACAGACATACTTATATATATTTACAATCTAGTCTATACATACTTGTACTTGCATCTCTTTCTATTTTAACAGGACAACTACTTGTGTGTCGTCTTAGATCATTATTAGTGGTAAATGATTCACTACAAAAATCACAAGCAAACGATTTTTCTCTAGTATGGAGTCTCATGTGTTTTTTTATATTACCCTTTCGCGTAAACGATTTACGACAAACATCACAAGAAAAAGATTTTACTCCAATATGTGTGTTCATGTGTTTCTGTAGATTACCCTTTCGCTTAAACAATTTTCTACAAATACTACAAGAAAAAGGGTTTTCTCCGGTTTGAGTTCGGGTGTGTGTAAGTACGTGTACACGTAGATGACTATTAGTGGTAAATGATTTACTACAAACATCACAAGGAAAAGGTCTGTCACCAGTATGACTTTTGTTGTGTGTTTTCAAATTGCTCTTTTGTATAAATGATTTATCACAAACATCACATTTATATGGCTTCTCACCAGTATGAATCATAATGTGACTATTTAAATGAGAATAGCTTGTTAGAGATTTACCACAAATATCACATTTATAGTTTTTATTGGCAATGGAATGCTTTGACATTTTCAGCTTTTCTCTTGATTCTTCTCTCTGAAAATTATAAAAAAAAAAATAGGCTTATAACTAATTACACATTTTAAATGTTTTTCTCTAAAAAAAATATTAATAATTAATTACAGAGTTCAAATGTTTTTTTCTATCAAAAACTAACCATAAACCATATTATCTTTAAGGTTGAATAGTTTTAATCTCAGTGAGACAGTTGCTTGTGTCTTTTGTTGTTAGATTATCTGCCAATAAACTTCATGTTTATATACAGTCCATTATAAATTAAATATTCTATCAAATTATTCATTTGTTTACCCTGGCCTTAACTTGAAACGATCACAGCTTAATATGGGTCTATAGAAAGTTAGTATGTAAGTGACTTAATAAGATGACTATTTGTGACACTATAGATCTATAAAAATAGCTTTCAAGTTTATTTTGATGAAATATGTTCAAAATGTTAGGCCTTAATTTACTCTACCTTTAACTGTAAGAAATTCCGCTATAAAGTCACTTCAAATCTCTTGAGTTGTTAGCTTGTAAACATCAGTTTCATCCTTTACACCAAAACTTACTCTGAATAAAGTAAGTAATTAATATTAGTTGATAATGTCTATAAAAGGCATTAATATTACAATGACCATCCACAATTAAATGAAATGAAATGGCGTTTAACGTCCTACTGTTCTGCTTCTATACTGGGCTATTGAAGATGGTCATACGCCATACAGTGTGCTATGAGGGAAATTTTGCCCGGGCAGCGGCACTATCGCCTACTCTTATATCGAATTCCAACTGCCAAGGGATCTTTTACGTGCATTCTAATGTATACACAGGACCTCGGTTTTTCGTCTCATCCGAAGGACTAGACAGCTGTCCTTGTCAGGCCCTCCGTTCTGCACCACTGACAAGGGGAAACCACGTCGGAAAATCAGGATGAACTTTCTCGGCCAATGCAGGGATTGAACACCCGACCTCCAGGCTAGTGAGCCAGCGTCTTAACCACCTAGCCACCGTGGCTCCCCCACAATTAAAAAAAATGTCAGAAATGAAAATACCGGTAGTCGTAAATCCATTACGTTGTGTTATGAATATCTTACTTTTACTTCTAATGTCACTGAAGGTTATTATGTTTCTTCGTATTTAATAGAACATTAAATAATGTATCTCAATCATCTATAATGAAGCTTAATACCCGTAAGATACATTAAAGTAATAAAATATCTCTGGATTGCTCGATCAGACGGCAGCCATTTTGTACCATTGGTTGAGTTTTAAATGTGACGTGGACCTTCTCCAGCCCGAGTAATTCATATTTGGACTTCAGGATTCGTCATTGTATCTGCGAGGGTATTTAATCCATAACTTAACTTATCAATATGAATGAGTGAGAGAGAGAGAGGGAGGGGGGCAACCCTACTCCTTGTCACGTTCAACAGGGGAATTGAATCCACGCCAGTTGACTCAATGACAAACTATCCGGTCACCCATTCCCTCTATTTCCCTTTACACCTTCCACCACTGACCCCCATTCTGTTTCCCTTTACCCCGCCTCCAGCTTATGATAAATATCTTTTATTGTTCAAAAGGCTGCCAAGTTATATTATTTCCTTTATTTTTCATTCATAAACAAACTAATTAAAACTCCTTTTTTACAGATTTTATTTTTCTTGTTCACAAGAAGAACCATTTTTGAGAGAGAGAGAGAGAAATATGGTTTAACATCCACTTGACACAGACTAGGTCATTTCGGGACTAAACATGGTTTAATTTTATTTCAATAATTTGCTTGCGCGTAGGAGTCTTTAGCAGTGGAAGGAAACCGGAGGACCCGAAGAAAACCCACGAGGTTGGACAAGCAACCCTACTCTACATTTGCTCCCAGTTCAACAACGAATCAAGTTCAAAATATTACTGTTAACTTTCAAGGCGTTACATGATCAATCACCAAAATATATCAAAGATCTGATTACCCCATATAAATCCATGAGAACTCTTAGATCCACAGATAAACAATTCTGTATCAACCATCAGTGAATCTTGAAATAGCAAAAAAAGATCTTTCTCGTTCTCTGCTCCTCTATTATGGATTTTGTTGCCTTACCACATTAGAACAATTGACTCCCTAGATGTATTTAAATCTCAGCTAAAGATGTTTCTGTTTACAGAAGCATTTCTGTAGTTCAAGCAAGAAAACTTGAAAAGCGCAATAGAAACTTTAGTTTTAGTATTATCGCGCTATATGAATAGAGGATTATCATATTATTATTATTGTCACATACAACCGAGGATTCGAAACCACGCCAGTTGACTCAAACCATTTTTGAAGATTCACTAATTTGTTATATCTGGTAAAATAAAGCAAAAGTTGTTCCTAATTTATGAAGTTAACCCAGTAGGTTATAATAGTTTATGATTTCATGTAGAATATTTCTGGTAGATAATGATATACATGTTTATTATAAATATTACAAGTTGTGGTGTCTTCCTGTTGTTAATGTCACGTATAGAGGATATTCCACATACACAGAGAGAATACAGTATGTTCAAAGTGTTTGAGATTCTCTTCTGTAAAATGAAAGTTCAACACAAAGCAACCACTAAACACAACCTACACTGTATATATAAATACGTCTTCAATGAAGTTTTTACTGTCGATAAAGATAGTAATTTTTATAGTCAATACATGGTTTTTACTGACGTCAACATCCAGGGATTCCACTTGACATCCACCATCTTGTGGTATGCTGACACTCAAAGCATGTTCAACCGGTGTTGACGTTACTGATTTAACACCCGATTTTTAAGAGAGATTTTAATACGACGGACAAATTGAACAGTTTATCATCAAAAACCAGGTATGCTGACACTTTTGATCCAATTTCCAAAGCTCGGTACTTCGATAAAATTAATCTAATTGATGATAAAGATCCATACAAAATACCGAAGAAAGAATGGTCAACTGAAAACAAATATCCAGAAATCCAGTATCCCGATATTGTTAACTATCTTGTGAATACACAAAGTACATATACCCTAAATGACATAAAGGCATATAAATCGTTAGAGTCTTATAATATCCACTGTTGGTCGATTGCCGAAAACTGAAATGAAATGAAATGAAATGGGGTTTAACGTCCTACTGTTTTGCTCCGAACTGGGCTAATGAAGACGGGCATACACCATACAATGTGCTATGAGGGAAATTTTGCCTGGACAGCGGCACTACGGCCTACTCTTATATCGAATTCCAACTGTCAAGGGATCTTTTACGTGCACGCCAATGTGTACACGGTACCTCAGATTTTCGTCTCATCTGAACGACTAGACAGCTGTCCTTTGTCAGGTCCTCCGTCCTGCATCACTGACAAGGGGGAACCACGCTGGAAAATCGGAACTTTCTCGGCCAATGCAGGGATCAAACACCCGACCAAGGAACTGTTCGTAAATATACATGGTATAACATGATCTATATTATATAACATTATCATACATGGTATAACATATATCTGATCTATATTACATAGATATATATACATAGTATGGCAGATAATAACCTGATCTATATTATATAACATTATCATCTGTCTGATCTATATTACATGGATATATATACAAGGTATAACATTCCATAACCTGATCTATATTATATAACGTTATCATCTGGTTATTTACCACAGATATACAACTTCTGTCTCAATCATATTGTAAGTCTATACATATCACAAGAATAATCCTGTTCTCTAGTATGAGTTCTAGCATGTACATAACCCCCTACAAAATGAAATGAAATGGGGTTTAACGTCCTACTGTTCTGCTCCTAACCTGGGCTAATGAAGACGGGCATACGCCATACAGTGTGCTATGAGGGAAATTTTGCCCGGACAGCGGCACTACGGCCTACTCTTATATCGAATTCCAACTGCCAAAAGGGATCTTTTACGTGCACGCCAATGAGTACACAGGGCCTCGGTTTTTCGTCCCATCCGAACGACTAGACAGCTTTCCTTGTCAGGCCCTCCGTCCTGCATCACTGACAAGGGAGAACCACGCTAACCCCCTACAAACATCACAAGAGGTACGGTTTGTGTCTAGTATGAATTCTGGTGTGTCTCTTTAGATGACTACTAGTGGTAAAAGATTTACCACAAACGTCACAAGAAAAAAGGTTTTCACCAGTATGAATTCTGGTGTGATAATGTAGATTACGATAGTTGGTAAATGATTTTTTACAAACATCACAAGAAAAGGGTTTTTCCCCAGAATGCGTTCCAATGTGTTGTTGTAGACCACTACGGTCGCTAAATGATTTATTACAAACATTACAAGGAAAGAGTTTTTCCCCAGTATGGGTTCTGGAGTGTGAATTTAAACTGCTCTTCTGACTGAATGATTTCTTACAAACATCACATTTATATGGCTTCTCACCCGTATGCGTTCGCATGTGTAGCTTTAGATTTCTTCTTTGCATAAACAATTTTCTACAAACATCACAAGCAAAAGGTATTTCTCCAGTGTGACTTCTGGTATGTTGCCGTAGATGACTACCAGTGGTAAATGATTTACTACAAACATCACAAGAAAAGAGTTTTTCTCTAGTATGACTTCTGGTGTGTTGCTGTAGATTAACACTTTGTGTAAAAGATTTACTACAAACATCACAAGAAAAAGGTTTTTGACCAGTATGGGTTCTGGTGTGTTGCTGTAGATTATTACTAGTGGTAAATGATTTACTACAAACATCACAAGGAAAGGGTTTTGTCCCAGTGTGGGTTCTAGTGTGAGTTTTCAAATTATTCTTTAGTGTAAATGATTTACCACAAACATCACATTTATATGGCCTCTCTCCCGTATGAATCATAATGTGTCTACTTAAATCAGAATAGTTTGCTAGTGATTTACCACAAATATCACATTTATAGTTTTTATTGGAGACAGAATGCTTTGACATTTTCAGCTTTTCTCTTGATTCTTCTCTCTGAAAGAAATTGATCTAATAATTATTTACACTATTTAAACATGAGCTAAATCTGCCTATTGCAGGTCTTTCTTTAGGCCTCAAATGTTATCTAAGTTATTAATTAGACATTACTTAACTTATCCAGACCATAATCAACTCTCAATGTCATCGCTAGTCTGCGATATTTACTGGATTAGGATCCGATTTGCTGCTCAACTTTTATTCATGATTTAATCATGAAATGGAGGAGAGAGAGAGAGGGAGAAATGGGGTTTAACATCCACTCGACACAAACTAGGTCATTTCAGGACTAACATATGGATCAATTTTATTTCAATAATTGGCTTGCGCGTAGGGGTCTTTAGCAGTGGGAGGAAACCAGAGGACACGGAGAACCCCCACGAAGTTGGACAGTAGGAAAGTAGGGAAGTTGCACATGTCTTGGTCTCTTGAATAGTCGTAATGACTCCACCTAAAAACCAACATGTTAGTTTGATCATAACAAGATTCTGATTTGGATCCAAACATTGAGCAAATTATATTCAAAGAACAATAATTTTTGTCTATATTTAGATATAACAGTAGTTATAAATTACAGGAATCAACAACTATTCACAATATTGTATATACACATAAAAACAAGGTAGCCTACAATATTTATAAAATCTCTTTTATTATATCTCTAAATCTTTCAATTGTCCAATAACAAGTTTATTTTGATGAAATATGTTCAAAATGTTAGGCCTTAACTTACCTTACCTTACTTTTAATCGTAAGAAATCCAGCTATAAAGTCACTTCAAATCTCTTGAGTTATTAGCTTGTAACCATCAGTTTCATCCTTTACATCACTACTAGATGACCAATACTGAACCTGATTAAAGTAAATAATTAATATTAATTGATACCGGTAATGTTCATAAAGTGACATAAATTATCATCACTACTACGAGGACCAATACTGAACCTGAATAAAGTAAATAATTAATATCAATTGATAATGTCTATCCCATAAAAGGCATAAATATCAATAAGAATGACCATCCAAAATTTAGAAATGAAAGTAGGTCAATAAGTTCTATACACCTAAATGATCAATCAATTTGATGAAAGTTGTAGAGTAGTTTGTCACTATTACCGCCCTTTTCTGAAAACCCTGTCACTATAATAGAGGTCTTATTTGTTGAAGGCATATCAACTTTGATCAAATTTCCAATCTTCAATAAGAATGACCATCCAAAATTTAGAAATGAAAGTAGTGGTAAATTATTATTATAATTTCATTTTTAAAGCGCTACATTGTAACAATAGTTATTTCTAAGTGCTGTACAGTCATATTTACACAATGGTAGGCGCATGACTCTATTTATATGAGTTACTAAACAGATGAGTCTTCAGTTTAGATTTAAACCGAGATAGGTGGGTATACTCTCTGATGTTTCTGGGAAGTACATTCTGAAGTTTGGCATCCCTAATGGAAAATGAAAACTTGCCCACCTGGCACTGAAAGTGTAAACATTAAACATATCCACCATACAATTAGAAGCTGTTTTGGGTATTACTGATTTATTCTGGGCGTATAAAAACGAGAATTTTAAATTTTATTCTGGCTCTCAGTCTTACCGGTAGCCTGTGTAGCTGCTTCATATACAATGAGATGTGATCCTGTGGCAAGTTATGTTATTATGAATATCTTACCTCTACTTCTAATGTCAATAAAAACAGAACTCAATGACCATTGAATACCGCTCAGGTTATTTAATGGTTCAAAAGAGTGTATCCCTGCACAAGTATTCCACGAGCAATAAGTTCTGTTTTTATTCTATAACTACATGCAAATCTCGAAATACACTGTACTATCCAGATTAACAACAAAAAAATCATCACCAATAAAATTAGAATTCATCATATGTTCTGCCCTTTTTTCTTACTTTTTACAAAAATTGTAGTTGCCTAGTGTTAACATCATTACTGTTTGACGTAATTCTGAAAGTTACGTCATTTTGGACAAAAGTAGTGCGTTTTCAAGCCATTGAATACAACCATAGGTTATTCAATGAAATGAAATGCAGGTATAACGTCCTACTGTCCTGCTCCTAACATGGGCTAATGAAGACGGGCATACGCCATATTATACAGCGTGCTATGAGGCAGCGGCACTACAGCCTACTCTTATATCGAATTCCAACTGCCATGGGGTCTTTTACGTGCACGCCAATGTGTACACAGGACTAAGTTTTTCGTCCCATCCGAACGACTAGACAGCTGTCCTTGTCAGGCCCTCCATCCTGAATCACTGACAAGGGGAAACCACGCCGGAAAAGGTTATTCAATGACTGTATTTAAAGGCTGTATTCAATATTTGCTTGTATTTGCGTGTAGTTATAGAATAAAGGCTATTATTATGTTTCTTTATATTTAATAGAACATTAAATAATGTATCTCAATCATCTATAATGAAGCTAAATACCGCTAAAATACATTAAAGTAATAAAATATCCCTGGATTGCTCGATCAAACGGCAGCCATTTTGTAGCATTGGTTGAGTTTTAAATGCGACTTGGACCTTCTCCAACCCGAGTAATTCATACCTGGACTTCAGGATGCGTCATTGTATCTGCGGGGGTTGATTATATTCCATATCAATACGAAGGTGAAATACAATTTCTACATGTGATTGATGTATTTGATGAAGAAGATAAGTTATGTCACAGGATGGGCGAGGCGTGACCGTTTTGGGGAATAAAGAAACTAAATACAAAAGAATTCATTTTATGTAACTCAAAATACAATATAACAATGAACACTTTAAAGTGCGCGCACTATATAAATTATGAAGCTAGGGAAAAATGTCCATCCGTCAGCATCACCATATATCGACACCATTTAACAAATATCATACATCGACGATACCATTGTTCAGCGACCACTCAGACGATACCATTCCCATAACACAGTGTCCACCCATCGGCAAGACCATACATCGACGAAACCACTTATCGGCGACTAATCATAGACGATACCATTCACAGAACAAACAGTCCACCCATCGGCAAGACGATACCATTTATCGGCGACTATCATAGACGATACCATTTACAGCACACAGTGTCCACACATCGGCAAGACCATACATCGACGATACCATTTATCGGCGACTATCATAGACGATACCATTTACAGCACACAGTGTCCACCCATCGGCAAGACCATACATCGACGATACCATTTATCGGCGGCTATCATAGACGATACCATTTACAGAACAGTCCCCCATCGGCAAGACCATACATCGACGATACCATTTATCGGCGACTAATCATAGACGATACCATTTACAGCACACAGTGTCCACCCGTCGGCCAGACCATACATCGACGATACCATTTATCGGCGACTCCAAAAGTGAACAGTTAACATCCGTCAGTAGGTACCCAAAAGGGGACCTGTAAAATTAGTCAACATTTATACATGAAATATTTACTCATACTAACAAAATATACAACGATGAGTAAAATATACGATACCTGCACATCGGAACCAAGAAACCAAAATTAATAGCATAACGATTTTACTCACCCAAGTACCCGATGGCAGTATCGAGTCCTCCAATCCAACTGTCATAATCCATCTCCTAAACCTGCCCGTTTGTCAGTTTATATACTACCTGTATGCACGTGCATTGAAGGTAGACAGTTTGGGCGAGCCTTAATATTACAGGTAAATAGTTTGGGCGAGCCACGCGGCAGAGTTTGGGCGACCCATAGTGACACTAATGAAATATGACCGTGACAAGTTACATTTGATAATCGTCACTGCAGCTTATCAACTCCCATCTTCACTAGAAGGCTTGATCTCGCTTTAACTACGTACATCAAGACCTTCACGTAATACCCTGCATATTTTGGCACTAATTTTGATTGGGTAAAAGCCCAGCTTGTGAGCCTTCCCGTCTCATCCTTTTTAATTATAATCAAATTGTAATATATACAATAGTTGCGGTTCTCAATGAAAAATAATCCCCACACTATCTGGGATTTTCCAGACAGGGGGCTTATTGAGCAAGGTAAAGACTAACCTGGAGACTGAGAAAGTTCCCCAGGATATACCAGCATGGTTTCCCCTTGACATGAAATGATATGGGATTTAATGTCCTACTGTTCTGCTCCTATCCTATTGAAGACAGGCATATACGAGATAGCGCACTATGGGTAACTCTTATTTAGAATTTTGTATGACATTATAGTCATCAGACAACAGACCCAATCCATCCATATTCATTGTTGCATAGCTTTTTGAAGTTAACCCTGCCGAAAACCATGTGAACAGGATAAAGACTAAGTTATTAGCATATTGGTTTGGGTTAAGCATTTCAAGGCCATGATGATGTTCAGAATTCGACAACTGTACACCGACAATTTTACAAAACCTTGTGAACATGATAGAGGCTACAGTCTTTAATAGTTTTTTTTTACAACTCTGATCTGTAGCATTAGGGTAATGAGAGGACAAATCTCATAAATAATTATCGTTCTGCGACCTTCCATTCCGGAATTATGTAACACTACCGAGTGATAACAGATATCGGTAAAGTAAATATATGATTTATTTACATCAGGTATATATAACAGCTACAGTTACATACATACAACAGGAACTAAACTACATCAGGAACTAGACTACAACAGGAACATGTATAACAATATTAAATCCACCATTCCGCCCCTCTGCCAAGGCAGCGGCTGAACTCGAGTGAGTCCATACGCCGGTCTCTCGCCTGCATCTATGCTCGTCTAGTCGTCTCTTCTCGTCTCAAGTCGTCTGCCTAGCTGTCAGCCAACTTCCGATTATATAGCGTCCAACAAATAGGGAAAATAGATAAGACTCATGATCATATATGGAATTGTCTTCTTATTACGTCATGGTATGATTACTGACCAGTGTGTATTCTTTTGAAGTCATGTGGAGCTTGTACACAGATGTAGTTTGTAAATGACATATGGGTTTAATTACATGTTTAATTAGATCATGGCCAGTCCGTGCCTTAACAGATGTATATAAAGAGTTGAAAAGTCAATATCATTTATTATCAAAAACAGCTTAGGTCAATAAGTTCCAACACCTAAATGATCAATCAATTTGATGAAAGTTGTAGAGTAGTTTGTCACTATTACCGCCCTTTTCTGAAAATCCTGTCACTATAATAGAGGTCTAATTTGTCGAAGGCATATCAACTTTGATCAAATTTCCAATCTTTGTGCGACTATCATTAGTGAGTGGTAGGTGAGATTAAAATGTTAGCATTGCATCTTCCAGAATGTATGTCTAAAAAACTTGCATCAAAAATATTTATCCTAAATAAGATAAAAGATCATTTACCTTACGAGACAAGAATTTTGTTTTATAACAGTTACATACTACCAATATTTGATTATTGCTCTATTATTTGGGGAAGTGCTACCAAAAGTAGATTAGACATTCTTTTAAAATTACAAAAGAGGGCAGCAAGAGCTATTCTTGATGCACCGATTGAAACTCCGTCCACCTCTTTATTTACAAAACTCGGTTGGCTTACCCTTACACAGAGGATTCTTTACAATAAAATTGTCTTATCATTCAAAATTATTACATTTAATACTCCACTTTATCTAAATTTCCATTTTATTGAAAAATCTCTTGTTTCCAAAACGGATATCTTGCTCCGTTCACAGACCAGTAAATCTCTTTTTCTTCAAAAATGCAAAACGGAATCCATGAAACGTACTTTTCATTATTCTGCATGTCTTTTATGGAACAATCTGCCCTTTGATATAAAGATGTGTAAAAATGTTGAAAATTTTAAGATTAAACTGAAAACTCATTTATTTTGCACACTGAAGGAACCATAATATTCAACTGATGACATACTTATTATTTTTAACTTGCAACTGCATTCTATTTTATTTTGTGTGTAATTATAGTGTTCTTCCTATATTCTACTTGTATAATGTATATGTTTTGTAGTTTGGGAGTGACTTATCAAACTTCCCACTTTAAAATGCTATTGCATTTCTAATGATTTTAAATTTATCCTGATATTACATGTATATATGTCTTTGTAGTTTAGGAGGGACCTATGGAAGATTAGGTTTTTTTTTGCAAACTAAATACGTTGCCTCATTAAATAAAGTTTTTATTATTATTATTATTATTATTAATGTACATGTAGATTAAAAACATACACTTAAAATTAAGAATATTTAAGATTAGGGTTAGATAGCTAAAGTAATTTAATTGTTTTGTTAGTATCCTAACATTAAAGTTACTTTCAAGTTACCAATCTGTTTCACAGAGAATTACGAGTCTCGTATAATATCTCTGTCATAGATGACTGCCTTAACACGTGCTGTCACAGCACGCGGTGTGAATCATTGGCTGAATGGCGCGTGCATTGTTTACATAAGACATAACTGCTTCGGAGAGAATGCTGCATTTTAGTCAATTTAATACCCATTTACGCTAAATCGGAAATAATTTTTACCTACAAATACGTCAAACGCCTTTTTTTATTTTTCCAATATATACAAAAAATGTTTTAGAATTTAATTTGTCGCAGGAAAAAAGTTAATATTTCTAGCTCATTAAGCCGCATCAATGTCATCCTTATCAGTGATTGTCGCGGCCAAGCAAATATTCACTGCGGATCAGTGTGTCAAGTTACATTAGAAACTTAATTGTTAGTATCCTGATATTAAACCAGCTTTCGGTTTATGTTAGAAACTAATCATAAACTAACAGTATGAATCCTGAAGCAACAATTTATGTGAGATTAACATTCAATTTATAACTAATAACAAATATGTTAAATATTATGTCTGAATTCCACATATTTATCATTTGTTAGAATGTACACACACTGGTATAATTATTTGATCCAAAATTACTGTTATTCAAAGCGAATAAATTATTACATCATTTTCTAACATAAAAATAACCATAACTATTCTGACGTAAAAGTAATACATTTAACAATATGATTTTTAACCACAGACATACTTATTATATATATTTACAATCTAGTCTATACATACTTGTACTTGCATCTCTTTCTATTTTAACAGGACAACTACTTGTGTGTTGTTTTAGATGACCACTAGTGGTAAATGATTCACTACAAAAATCACAAGCAAAAGATTTTACTCTAGTATGGATTCTCATGTGCGTATTTATATTACTCGCTCGATTAAATGATTTACTACAAACATCACATTTATACGGTTTTTCGCCAGTATGAGTTCTGATGTGTTCACGTAGATGACTACTTTGTGTAAATGATTTACTACAAACATCACAAGAAAAAGGGTTTTCACCGGTATGGGTTCTGGTGTGTACATGTAGGCCACTATTAGTGGTAAATGATTTTCTACAAACATCACAAGAAAAGGGTTTTTCACCAGTATGACTTCTGATGTGTACATGTAGAGAAACTTTTTGGCTAAATGATTTATCACAAACATCACATTTATATGGCTTCTCACCAGTATGAATCATCATGTGTTTACTTAAACTAAAATAGTTTGTTAGTGATTTACCACAAATATCACATTTATAGTTTTTTTTGGTGACAGAATGCTTTGACATTTTCAGTTTTTCTCTTGATTCGTCTCTCTGAAAATAAAAAAAAATAGGCTTAATAATTAATCACACATTTGGAATATTTTTCTCTAAAACATATTGTTAGGCATAATAATTAATTAGAGAATTCAAATGTTTTTCTATCAAAACTAACCATAAACCATATTACCTTTAAGGTTGAATAGTTTTAATCTCAGTGAGACAGTTGCTCGCGTATGTTTATATACAGTCCATTATAAATTAAATATTATATCAAATTATTCATTTGTTTACCCTGGCCTTATCTGACATGATACGATCACAATTTAATATGGGTGTATAAAAGGTTGTATTTAACATAAGATGACTATTTGGGTACTGATTTTTGTAATGTTAATAGATGGATTATCCCATAAAATACTAGTATTATCTATTGTCTCTGTTACAGCTGACTATTGCCTATTAAAGGGACAATAACACTCTTGCTGGCTTGAAAGCTCCAGAAAATAAATAATATCTCTATCTAAGTACTAGATGTTTAAGTGTCCTACCTGTTGTGTAAATTTTCCATTACATCCTATTTTACTTGTCCAGAGGGTTCGAAAATATTTTTAAATCAAAGTTTCATTTGAAAAGGTTTACGTTAGACGTTTCAAACCATTATGTTGAATTTTTCAAAATGTGTTAAGATGAAATTTGTATCATCAATTAATTGAAATATTCTAAAAGAGTACAATTTGTTGACCAGAATAAAGATTGGGACATATTATTCAGTTACAACAAGAGTGGTATTGAGCCTTTAACAGTGAACTATCAATAATTGAACTCTAAATAATCCATAAAGTATTATTGTCTATAATCTCTGTTACAGTTGACCATTATGTCAAGTTATGATTTATATCTACAACTTGGATGAATGACTGTATTAACGAGGTATTATTCAACAACTAAATCTGCCTACATGTATTGCAGCTCTCTCCGTAGGCCTTAAAGTTATGGAATTACGTAACAAGATGGGGGATGACGAAATATCTGGTGCACAATAGCCGGGCATCGGAAGTCTTGATCATAATGATTGTGATGTATGTACATTCATGTAAATAGAGATGTCCATCCAGAATTATATCATGATTATTATATGATGAAGTAATTATGTGTCATTCCATAATTGTACATTTCAGAAGGATGACTCATACTATACGTCACCCGCTCATGCGTAGTGCGCAGGAAGATGTTCGCCATGCTGATTTCTTGAAGTATACCATTTCGATGTTGTTTAGATGTAAATCATTCTTTTACTAATAAATGTTTGTCTACAACGAACATAATAATGATAGGTCTAAATTATCAGTGATATGCTTCTAAGTTAACCGTCCGTTTGTAATTCATTCATTCTTGCCATTTCATTTCTTCATGATCTTTCCCTACTTTGACAGGTTACGAAATGATCTGTTCCAATCAGGATGATATTTAAATATTTAAAAGCATAGGCCCTACCTTTGGATTTTTAAAGCGGAAATTGCAAATTTTCTAAGAAAGTCAAAACGTATTTATTTCTATGTCTTTTGCTCAATAGGTTGTCAACTCACAATTATACGATCATAGGTGTCATTCTCACACTTACAACTCATTTACACAGGAAATAACACAATTACCTCCCTTGTTTTCTATTCTCCAACATGGAGTAGCTTTTTTCAACGTTTGAAAATGAAGAGCAAAATGATATTCTTGCCAATTTCTCACCTGGCAATAGCGAATTATAGGATTATGGGATTATTCTTTAACAAGGTAGGACTGTTAGTGTTTATGGATACCATCTATTTTCAGGCTTTATTTTAATAAATTTTAAAAATATAACTTAAAAATTTGCTATTTCCGCTTTAAATACAACAGAAGTTAGATTATTAAAATGTCAGTCCAAAGAATTTATTACACATATGTTCGTTTCTCTAAAATTGAAGAAGAGAGTACCAATAACCCTTAAGTTAATTGTCTTCAACTTTGACCCCATCGGCACATATGGCATCGTGATATAATATAAATACTTCCATAATTTTGTGTGTCTTCATCAAAGTATTCACATTTACTAGTATCAGGGCTAGAAATTCATGTGAATCTCCAAATCTGATTCTCGCAAGGATTCTCAAAAGAGCTTACGCTGCGAATCTATAAAGATTCGCGTAAAATTTTTCTTAAAAAAAAAAAAAAATCTCGGAGAATTTTGAGTCCAACTGTTGAATGTCAGTCAGGGTTAGTTTTCTTAATCGATTGTATTTTGTAGGATTTAGCCGATTGATGTTTAATCTAGCCAATTGGTAAAACAATGAATCGGCCACATGGTATCATAAATCAATCTACTTGTCTTTTATCTAATATTACAACGCGTTAATTATTACTTGTTAATAAAGAAGTGTCGGCTACAACAACAGTCATATTGCGAATCGGCCATATGTGATTCATAATCCGAGAAATTAGCACATTTAACGGTGATTTTGATAATCCGGTAAAAAAACAAAACAAGCTTGCTGATAATTCATATCCTACTAGGTTCAGTAAAATACACCACGTGGTGAATGAAGACGATTGCGGCATGGTTTGCGAATCGCGCATCTTCCACACTCCGCCTGTGTGAATTCCAGGTATTAAAATAATAACTGGATCATACATTGATGGATTCACTGACCAGTTGTTAGGTAAAATTAAATCTTCATTGAATATAATCCCCTGATAGAACACCGAATACACGGAGAGATAAACAGTGGATATTTTCCCAACAGAATCTCGAATCCCGAATTCAATGACATGTGACATATTGGTTGGAATTAGGTCAATAAACCAGTTCTAAATAGCGTTTACCGTTATAATTTTTTATTTTATATACATGCTGACAGAGACTTAATTTTAAAAATATTATTGAAGGCTATATCATAGTCGTACCGAAGTTTATTTTATAGCAATTTCAGTTATGGTTGTCACGTGATCATTGTGCGGTTTGTCTATCATCGACGAATGAATAAAAACTTTTGCAAGTTACGTGACTAGTTGTGTGATGGACAAAAGACTACAAATTGTGCTATGAAGAAATGCCATGGTGCTGTATCAGCTTATTTTGACTACGGCATTTTCTGGATATTACTTTTGACACAATTTAAGTGTTTACTAAAAGCCCCATCTGACTGGGGTTTTTTTATCATTGTTGTTGTATTTTGGTGTTTTAGATAATCACAATAAACACAATTTTGTTTTTTAGACAGTACATGTATTATTAATTAAGATTCGGAGGATTCGCGCAGATTCCATCTTTGGTGAAAGAAAATGCTGCAGCAACAATTCCTTGGTTTGAATGACAGATATGTTACGGCTTTTTTAACTTCCGCTTTCACGTATGGACTTACTTATTTTTTTCACATTCTAGCCTACTAGACTTATCACCTACAGTGTCATGTTTATCGACAAATAGTCGATTTTAATGCGCCAATTGATTGTTCATATTTGAAGGCAAACAAATATAGTTTTACAATTTTTGCAGGATGAATTTGTGACCTCACTAAATTTGACCAAATAATTATGGAAGGGGTGCAGGCTGTTTCGTAACTTGGCTGTTTCGTACTAATAGTTCATTTGTACCTCACTTCGTACCACAAATTGATTCGTACCTTTTCCTATGTTGTTGAAATCAGTTGGATTTGATCAAATCGTTTAATATGTTTCATCTTTATTTCAATTTCTTTCAAACACATTTAGGAAAACAAACTAATCAATTTGAGGTACAAATATCGTGCATATTCTAATTATGGCTCGGCAGCCACTTTTATAAATTTAGCGTAGCCGTTGGATTTGATCAAATTGTTTCACCTTTATTTCAATTTATTTCTTTTAACTGATTTCAACAACATAGGAAAAGGTACGAATCAATTTGAGGTCTGAAGTGAAGTACGAAACGGCTCATGCGAGGTACGAATGAACTAAGTACGAAACAGCCAGGTTACGAAACAGCTGACATCCTATGGAAGTGCGTAATTATTACGGATGAAAACAGACATGCTGGCGGGTCATGAAAAACTAACAATCAATTACCCGCAGCCTTACCTTTAATATTAAGAGTAATAAATCCAGCTATAAAGACTCTTGTTGTGAAGATGTTTATTTAGCACCTTAAGCTCAGAATAGTTTACCTCCAGTTAAAAAGTCACTTGAAATCTGTTGAGTTGTTAGCTTGTAAACACCAGTTTCATCCTTTACATCACTACTAGTAGAGGACCAATAGTCAATACTGAGCCTGAATAAATCAAAAACAAATAGTAGGCCTACATCACTACTAGAGGACCAATACTGAACCTAAATTAAGTAAATAATTAATATTAATTCATAATGCCCATCACATAAATGGCATAAATATTAAAATGACCATCCAAAATTAAAATAAATTTAGAAATGAAAGCAGCTGTACTGTAAATCCATTACGTGGTGTTATTATGAATATCTTACTTTTACTTCTAATGTCACTAAAGGTTATTATGTTTCTTCGTATTTAATAGAACATTAAATATTTATTTTAATCATCTATAATGACGATATATACCGGTAAGATACATTAAACAAATAAAATATCTCTGGATTGCTCGATCAGACGGTTGCCATTTTGTACCATTGGTTGAGTTTTAAATGTGACTTGGACCTTCTCCAACCCGAGTTTTTCATATTTGGACTTCAGGATTGGTCATTGTATCTGCTAGGTTATTTAATCCATAACTTAACTTATCAATATGAATGAAAGAGAGAGGCAACCTGCTCCTTGTCAGGTACAACAGAGAAGTCGAAACCATGCCATCTGACTCAATGGCAGATTGTACCTATCCGATGTCTATTAATTCAGATAATAAAGAATATGATGATTTATCTGATATTGCTAATATTACGAATAATCATTTTACCAATGTTACTGATGATATTAAACCTGTATATAACCCCCTTTCCAATAAATATTGTGAAAAGATTGATAAATTTGTTCAAAAAACAATTCCTCCTGACAAAGAATTTACCATAAATTATATCTCATGTGCAGATGTACACAAATATCTAAATATGCTCGATCCAAGTAAGGCTACCGGTATTGATTCTATAGGACCAAAAATTCTAAGGATGTCGACAGACTATATTTTCAAATCATTAACTTATATAATAAATTTATGCATCTCAAAAAATATTTTCCCTGAACAATTAAAATTTGCTAAACTTATCCCAATCCACAAGAAGGAAGACAAGGATCTACCAAATAATTATAGGCCAATTTCTGTCTTACCCACCATATCAAAAATATTTGAAAAACACATTAGTTCTCAAATTACAGAATATTTTGAAAAATACAAACTATTTTATGAATTTCAATCGGGTTTTAGGAAAAATCATTCGTGTTCAACAGCCTTATTGAGAATTACAGATATCTGGCTGACAGAAATAGACTCAAGTAATATGACCGGAGTTGTTTATCTCGATCTTAGTAAGGCTTTTGATCTTATAGACCATAGATTAATCCTCCAAAAGTTAAAATTATACAAATTTGACTTGAAATCGCATGAAATAATTTCATCCTATCTGGATCCAATATTTGTCCATTACTTTTCTTGATTTTTATGAACGATCTCCCACTTCATGTCAGTAAATGCCATACTGATCTTTTTGCTGATGACAGTACCCTTCACTTCTCTAGCAACAATCTAGCTAATATAGAGATTGCCCTTCAAGAGGATTTACTAAATGTATTTAATTGGTGTAATGATAATGGTATGGTAATAAATGATAAAAAGACCAAAGCCATGCTAATCGCTTCAAAACACCAAACAAACACAAACTGCTTATCACTAAAAGTTAATGGAGAATCATTAGAAAATGTATCTGAAGCAGTGTTATTAGGACTTACTGTTGACTAAAATTTAGATTGGAATCTCCAAATTAACAAAATTTCCAAAATCATTTCCTCCAAAATCTACCTCCTGACAAAGTTAAAACCTTATTTACCACACCATCTTAGAATTTTATTTTTCAACGGCTATATTTGACCATACTTAGATTACTGTTCCACAGTTTGGGGTAATGCCAATAAAGGTAAACTAGAGGTCCTGTATAAACTGCAAAAGCGTGTGGCAAGGAGCATTTTGGATGAAAAACCTGGAGTCGTCTTCATATTGATTACGCGGGACCAGTGGAGGGGAAGATGATATTAGTGGTAGTTGACGCACATTCGAAGTGGATAGAAGCGTTAATTTGCAGTACAAATTCATCAAAAGTAACAATTACTAAGTTGCGTAGTATCTTTGCAACGCACGGTTGTCTCTGACAATGGTTCGTGTTTTACTAGTGAAGAGTTTAAGACTTTCCTTTGTAAAAATGGGGTTCATCAGTTATTCAGTTCACCCTATCACCCCAGTTCTAATGGTTTAGCAGAGCGTGCAGTAGAAACTGTGAAGGATTGGTTAAAGAAGAATAAACAAGGTACACTAGATGACAGATTAAATAGACTTTTATTTACATATCGCATATCTGTACACGCTACTACAGGAAGGTCTCCTGCAGAGTTACTTATGAAACGTCAGTTGAGATCTCGTCTTGATTGTGTGTTTCCAGATAGTAAACTGAAAATTCAACAAGAACAAGAGAGTCAAATTAAGTCACATGATAAGAAGGTTAAGCTTCGAAACTTTCAAGTCAATGATCGCGTTAGTGTAAAAAAATTATGGTTATGGACCTAAATGGATATCTGCAAGAATTGTTAAAGTTACAGGTCCATTATCGTATCAGATTCAGACATCAGATGGAAGAGTCTTGAGACATCATATAGACCAGATATTATTACGTCATGCATCTGATGATGAAGTTGTTGAGCCAGTGGTGGATCCGGTCCCTGACAGTAATATTCCAATGGATATTCCGGTGCTAAATGAAAATCATTTGCCTGTAGATCGTCATGGTGTTATTCCAGACAATGTGTCACGTTTTCCTGCTCGTGTTAGGAAACCACCTGCTTACTTAAAGGACTATGTTGTTCAAAAATAATAGTTCTATTAACCTTACGTAAAGTTTAGTGACTCTATGTTCTTCTGTGTTAATAACCCTTTTTATGGTTTCTAGGTGAAATTGAACTGTTTAGTTTTTTTTAAGATTATGTTTAATCTTAGGATGAGGAAATGTAATAAACTAGGACTTTAACAAGAGTTTCCTCCCTTATACTATACTATGGGCTGTACATTGATAAAGATAATAAACAGAGGGCGCTTGGTGTTCGCTTCGCCATTGACATGACTTTCTTGTTTGAGGCCTTATAACTTCTTAAAATGTCAGTCACCACTCGACTACCCGACAAATGTTCATCAGAAGGCATAAATCATCAGAATGGGGTTTAAAGTCATACTTTACTGGAACAACAAAGTTTTAAGGGTGAATGGAGAAGTCATAAAATCTTTTCAAAAGTAGGCCAGTGAAAGGAGTCATGGTGGATTTGTGAGCAAGGCATTAGCTCACTAACAATGTGGCCCAGTTATTGACTGAGAAAGTTTCCCAGGATTTTCCAGTGTGGTTTTATGGTTTCAGTTGCTGTCTGTGACAAATTTCGCTAATGTTGCTTGTTAAAATATTTATAATATAAAGAAGATAGAAAACTTTTAGTTTATATATGACTTTATTTTTACGAGTATCCGTGCAATGGTTTCAATATAAATCTCCTGGCGCTATTGCACTTTCGTACCTCTACCAGTTCCCGTAGTCGTAGGCACTTGAAATTTTCAGAGGATGTTAAGGGGGGCTAGCAATGACCACACACCAAATTTCAGCCGAATCGATAAATAACTTTTTATTTTACCGACCTTTTAATTTCTAACGAGAGAGAACTTCATCCGTTTGACGCCATTTGCTTTGTTTACTAATTAGACTTGAATAACAAGACACTAAGACGGAAACCGACTCGAATAACAAGACACTTAGACGGAAACCGACACACTGCACCAGCTGCCTAACACTGCAGTTCATAAAAATTAATATAATTTTCGTATACTTTAATTTTTGCGCGAAGCCACCATTTTCTATAAAATACTATTTGGTGTGGATCAGTGGATTGGCCGTTAGGTGTAAATATTGCCGTGACCTTGATTTTGACCTTGAGGCCAAACTTCCCACCCATATCGGGGCCTTTGCGTTTATGCTTGCCGTGGCCTTATTTCTTACTGTATTATCAAAGTTAATGTTCGAGGTGAAAGCAGAGATGACGTCCTTCAGAAAAGATAATTGGGTCAAAGTCGTAGGTCAAGGTCATGTTACAGAAAACTAAACTCAAACTTTTCAAAGTCATTTTTGGGACATTTGACCTTGACTTACGACCTTGACCCCGTAACCATTTTCGAAGGCTATCACATTGGCTTGAAACATGAACGTTTACCTTGGTCCTGTCGCACACTGCTCGGTCAGAAAACGGTCAAACGCAGAGGGTCCGTGTCCGAAAGGAAGTCAATGGGCGTGGTCAATGTGAAAGGTCGTGGTGACCTCCACTAGTCACCGTTAACCATCCGTAACCTTGACTCTGACCTTGAGTCCAAACGTCCCATCCATCTCGGGCCCTTTGCGTTTATGCTTGCCGTGGCCTTATTTCTAACTGTATTATCAAAGTTAATGTTCGAGGTTAAAGCAGAGACGACGTCCTCCAGAAAAGATAATTGGTTCAAAGTCGTAGGTCAAGGTCATCTTACAGAAAACTAAACTCGGACTTTTCAAAGTCAGTTTTGGGACATTTGACCTTGACTTACGACCTTTACCTCGTAACCATTTTCGAAGGCTATCACCTTGGCTTGAACCATCGACGTTTACTTTGGTCCTGTCGCACACTGTTCGGTCAGAAAAGGGCCAAACGCAAAGGGCCCGTGTCCGAAATGAAGTCAATGGGCGTGGTCAATGTGAAAGGTCGCGGTGACCTCCACTAGTCACCTTTAACCATCCGTGACCTTGACTTTGACCTTAAGTCCAAACTTCCCATCCATCTCCGGCCCTTTTCGTTTATGCTTGCCGTGACCCTATTGCTTACTGTATTATCAAAGTTAATGCTTCAGGTGAAAGCAGAGACAACGTCCTTCAGAAAAGTTAAAAAGGTCAAAGTCGTAGGTCAAGGTCATGTTACAGAAAACTAAACTCAAACTTTTCAAAGTCAGTTTTGGGACATTTCCCCTTGACTTACGACCTTGACCCCGTAACCATTTTCGAAGGCTATCAACTTGGCTTGAATCATGGGTGTTTACCTTGGTCCTGTCACACACTGCTCGGTCAGAAAACGGTCAAACGCAGAGGGGCCCGTGCCCGAAAGGAAGTCAATGGGCGTGGTCAATGTGAAAGTTCGTGGTGACCTCCACTAGTCACCTTTAACCATCCGTGACCTTGACTTCGACCTTGAGTCCAAACTTCCCATCAATCTCGGGCCCTTTTCGTTTATGCTTGCCGTGACCCTATTTCTTACTGTATTATCAAAGTTAATGCTTGAGGTGAAAGCATAGACAACGTCCCTCAGAAAAGATAATTGGGTCAAAGTCGTAGGTCAAGGTCATGTTATAGAAAACTGAACTCAATCTTTTCAAGGTCAGTTTTGGGACATTTGACCTTGACTTACGAGCTTGACCCGTAACCAGTTTCAAAACCCATCATCTTGGCTTGAACCGACGACGTTTACCCTGGCCCAAAAATGACTTTGAAAAGTTTGAGTTTAGTTTTCTGTAACATGACCTTGACCTACGACTTTGACCCAATTATCTTTTCTGAATGACGCCGTCTC